TCTTCTCTGCTGGAGCTAGGTGTGAATGTTTCAACTGACCAACTTCATTAGCATTTGAAGGCCTGGCTGAGCCTGGGAAAATCTTTTGTTGAGAGGTGTTACGATGTGCCTGGTTGTTTCCTCTCTGCTGTTTTGCTGTTGTAATTTTAGAGTTTTTGTCGAAGGCTTTCATGGCCGGAATCACTGGGTTGGGGGTTGTTTCCTCTCTGCTGTTTTGCTGTTGTAATTTTAGAGTTTTTTTAATACTGGTACCTCACTAACTCTGAGGATGCTTGCCATTGATGCAGGCGAAACGTCAGGAGAAAATGCCTCTAGAACATGGCCATATAGCCTGAAAAAACCCACAAGAACCTAGTGATTCCAGCCATGAAAGCCTTCGACAATACAATGTTTGTATCACCGCTAGAAAAAGAGGAGAAGCCAAGGATGTGAGGCTGGGATGAGAGACGACGTGGAGGAAGACTCACCACGCTCCCATCACAAAGAAGGAATCATAGAATCCTAGAGTTGGAAGAGATCTGGTAGGCCATCCAGTCTAACCCCATTCTGTCCTGAAGCAGGTAAATTGCCTTGAGAGCAAATATGGAGCCTCCATCACACTCCCTCCGGGGCAGAGAGAGAGAGTTCCACTGCTGAACGGCTCTTTCTCACAGTCAGGAAGTTCTTCCTCATGTTCCTTTCTTTCCTTTAGTTTTACACCATTGCATGCTAGTCACCCGGGCAACAGAAAACAAGCCTCCTCCCTCCTCCGTAGGACTTTCCCTCACATCTTGATACATGGCCTTCATCATGTCTCCTCTCCACCTTCTCTTCTGCAGGCAAAATATGCCCAGTTTTTAAAGCCATATTGAAACAAAGGCGGTCATCGCTAATAGTCAACATGGATTTATCAAAAACAAGTCATGCCAGACTAATCTGATCTCTTTTTTCGATAGATTTACAAGCTGGGTAGATGCGGGGAATGCCGTGGATGTAGCGTACCTGGATTTCAGTAAGGCCTTCGACAAGGTCCCCCATGACCTTCCGGCAAGGAAACTAGCCCAATGTGGGCTAGGCAAAACTACGGTGAGGTGGATCTGTAATTGGTTAAATGGACGAACCCAGAGGGTGATTCTCCTCAATGCTTCCTCTTCATCCTGGAAAGAAGTGACAAGTGGAGTGCCACAAGCAGGGTTCTGTCCTGGGCTTGGTCCTGGTCAGGATCTTTATTAATGACTTAGATGAAGGGTTGGAAGGCATGATCATCACGTTTGCAGATGATACCAAATTGGGAGGGAAAGCCAATACTCCAGAGGACAGGAGCAGAATTCAAAATGATCTTGACAGATTAGAGAGATGGGCCAAAACTAACAAAATGAAGTTCAACAGGGACAAATGCAAGATACTCGGAGAACTGGAGGCTGTAGACGCTTCCACTGGCTATTTATACTCACAGGAGAGAGTGGGCGGGGCTACCGCCAAAAGTGTTTAATAATTCTAGAAGGTTCTGAAAGCTGTTCTGCGCAGGCACTGGAATTACCATATGTGCGTTTCACAGGGACCACAATGGGAAAAGATGATTGGCCAAAACTAACAAAATGAAGTTCAACAGTGACAAATGCAAGATACTCCACTTAGGCAGAAAAAAAATGAAATGCAAAGATACAGAATGGGGGATGATGCCTGGCTCGAGAGCAGTACGTGTGGAAAAGATCTTGGAGTCCTCATGGACAACAAGTTAAACATGAGCCAACAATGTGATGTGGCGGCAAAAAAAGCCAATGGGATTTTGGCCTGCATCAATAGGAGCATAGTGTCTAGATCTAGGGAAGTCATGCTACCCTTCTATTCTGCCTTGGTTAGACCACACCTGGAATATTGTGTCCAATTCTGGGCACCACAATTGAAGAGAGATATTGACAAGCTGGAATGTGTCCAGAGGAGAGCGACTAAAATGATCAAGGGTCTGGAGAACAAGCCCTATGAGGAGCGGCTTAAGGAGCTGGGCATGTTTAGCCTGAAGAAGAGAAGGCTGAGAGGAGATATGATAGCCATGTATAATATGTGAGAGGAGGTCATAGGGAGGAGGGAGCAAGCTTGTTTTCTGCTTCCCTGGAGACTAGGACGCGAACAATGGCTTCAAACTACAAGAGAGGAGATTCCATCTGAACATGAGGAAGAACTTCCTGACTGTGAGAGCCGTTCAGCAGTGGAACTCTCTGCCCTGGAGTGTGGTGGAGGCTCCTTCTTTGGAAGCTTTTAAACAGAGGCTGGATGGCCATCTGTCAGGGGTGATTTGAATGCAATATCCTGCTTCTTGGCAGGGGGTTGGACTGGATGGCCCATGAGGTCTCTTCCAACTCTTTGATTCTATGATTAGGAAGAACGATGCAGGAAGATCCCAATGCAATTGTATGTCCTTTAGTGGGAGCCTACTCTTTGTTCTATTTAGCCTCTCTTATATACCTAGCCAAATTTGAGCTCCTCATGGGGCTTGTTCTCCAGACCATTGATCCTTTGAGTCGCCCTCTTTCTCTAAACACATTTCAGCTTAGAGATGTATAATATCAATGTATAATATCACAAAGGACTACCACCTCACCCGCCTCATAGGAAACTGCTACAAAACAGGAGCTTTTTGTTGAGTTCCAGGGCCAGAGAAGCAGATGGCGGAAACAGAAGAAAGGCCTGCCTCAGGGGAACGTGCTTGCTCCATCCATGTTCAACATTTACACAAATGACCAGCCACTGCCAGAAGGGACAGAGAGCTTCATCTATGCTGATGATCATGCCATTACCGCTCAAGAAGGGAGCTTTGAGATGGTTGAACAGAAGCTCTCCGAAGCTCTAGGTATTCTAACTGCCTACTACAGGGAAAACCAGCTGATCCCTAACCCATCTAAAACACAGACATGTGCTTTCCACCTTAAGAACAGACAAGCATCCCGAGCTCTGAAGATTACCTGGGAAGGAATCCCACTGGAGCATTGCAGCTCACCCAAATACCTGGGAGTCACTCTGGACCGTGCCCTGACCTACAAGAAGCATTGCCTGAATATCAAGCAAAAGGGTGCTAGAAACAATATCATACGAAAGCTGACTGGCACAACCTGGGGATCACAACCAGACACAGTGAAGACATCTGCCCTTGCGCTATGCTGCTATGCTGCTGAGTATGCATGCCCAGTGTGGAACACATCTCACCACACTAAAACAGTGGATGTGGCTCTTAATGAGACATGCCGCATTATCACAGGGTGTCTGCGCCCTACACCACTGGAGAAATTACACTGTCTAGCCGGTTGCACCACCTGACATCCGCTGGGAAGTAGCAGCCAATAGTGGAAAGACCAAGGCAGTGACATCTCCAGCTCATCCCCTGTTTGGGTATCAGCCAGCACGTCAACGACTTAAATCAAGAAATAGTTTTCTAAGATCTACAGAGACTCGCTGGAACACCTCAGCAAGCGAGAGTTCAAAAGTGGCAGGCTAATACCCAGAATCTCAATCATTGGCTTATACCAAATGAGAGACTCCCCCCTGGGCACACAGAAAACTGGGCGACTTGGAAGGCGCTGAACAGACTGTGCTCTGGCACCACGAGATGCAGAGCCAACCTTAAGAAATGGGGCTACAAAGTTGAATCCACAACATGTGAGTGTGGAGAAGAGCAAACCACTGACCACCTGCTGCAATGCAACCTGAGCCCTGCCACATGCACAATGGAGGACCTTCTTGCAGCAACACCAGAGGCACTCCAAATGGCCAGATACTGGTCAAAGGACATTTAATCAACTACCAAGCTTGCAAACTTTGTGTTTTGTCTGTTTGTTTGTTTGTTTGTTTTGTCAAAAATGTAATACAACTGTCTGGTTGCTCTTGACACAATAAATAAGCTTAGAGTCAGTTCAGCTGCGGTGCCCAGAATAGGACACCGTGTGCTTCCCGGTAAAGTGATCTGACCAAAGCAGAATAGAAGAGAGGAAGCGGTGGGAGTATCACTTCCTTGGTTCTAGGCACTAGGCTCCTATTTATGCAAGCCAAAATCCCATTGACTTGTTTATCTGCTGCATGACATTCCTGGCTCCTGTTCCCCTTCCTCCCCACAAGGACTCCAAGATCTTTTCCACACGTCCTGCTGTCGAGCCAGGCATCGTTCCCCCATTCTGTCTCTTTGCATTTCCTTTTTTTCTGCCTAAGTGGTGTCTCTTGCATATGTCTCTCTTGAACTTCATTGTGTTAGTTTTGGCCAATCATCTCTCTAATTTGTTAAGATTGTTTTGAATTCTGCTCCTGTCTTTTGGAGTCTTGGCTCTCCCTCCCAATTTGGTCCCGTCTCCCTGATTCTGGAACTCCAGTCCTCATGTTTTTCCAGGATGAAGAAGAGGAAGAATTGGGGAGAGTCACCCTCTGTGTTCGTTTATTTATTATTTATTTACAGCTTTTATATCCCGCCCTTCTCACCCCACAGGGGACTCAGGGCGGATTACAGTGTACACATATATGGCAAACATTCAATGCCATTTTTTGACATACAAACGTATACAGACATACACAGAGGCTATTTAACTTTTTCTGGCCGCCAGGGGAGCTGTCGCTTTCATCGTCCATCTGCGACGCTGATGAAGTACTTCCGCATTCCCCGCATGCTTCCCCACTGGAATGCTTTGCTGGAGTCTTCTTTATGGCCTCATAAATCTGTTAATTTACCCTCCCCACACTTTAAGGTACCCAATTTTCCTACTTGACAGATGCAACTGTCTTTCGGGTTGCAAAGGTCGACAACAGGCTACACACAATTGGTTGGAAACCCACTCAAACCCAGGCTGGCTTCGAACTCATGACCTTTTGGTCAGAGTGATCTTAATGCAGCTGAAACTCAGCCAGCTGCGCCACAATCAATTACATGAATTAAGCAATTACAGATCCGCCTAAACATAGTGTTGCCTAGCCAACATTGGACTAGTTTCCTTGCCAGAAAGTCATGGGGGACCTTGTCGAAAAGAGGAAAAGAGACTTACCGCTGGGTGGGGGCTTGGGCCGGGGAGGCATGTTCTTCTTTGGTGGGAGGGCAGGAGTGTCCGCTTGGCTCCGGAAAGGGTCCTCGGGGAAGGCGCTTCCCCCGAAAGAGGCAGCAGAGGAGGAGGAGAATGGGTCGGCAGCCGGAGGCTGTGTGGAGAACAGAATAAAATGAATAGACATTTGCCCATGCCATAGGATGATCATCATCATCATCATTATCATCATCATATTTAATTACTTATTTATCGCCCTCCATCCGAGATGCTCTAGGTGATTTACATAGCGAAATTGTACAGAATAAAATACATACAAACAGATATTAATAAATTAACATAGATCAAATGCTCTAGTAAAAAGCCAGGTCTTAAGTGCTAGAGCAGGGGTCCTCAAACTACGGCCCGTGGGCCACTTCCGGCCCGCCAAGGGCACTTATCCGGCCCGCAGAGGAGGAGCGGCCCCCCCCCACAGTGTCCCTCCCTTGGCTGGCTCACGCTATCCATCAGGCCCAATGGGCAGCGTGAGCCAACCAAGGGCAGCTGCTCCGCATGTCCTACTCGCGCGTAAAGCACCTCGCGAGGTGCTTTACACGCGAGTAGGCCACACTGTGCTGCTCCTCCCTTGGCAGGCTCACACTGCCCATCGGGCCTGATGAGCAGCGTGAGCCAGCCAAGGGCAGCTGCTCCGCGTGGCCTACTCGTGCGTAAAGCACCTCGCGAGGTGCTTTATGCACGAGTAGGCCGCGCGTTGCTGCTCATCCCTTGGCAGGCTCACGCTGCCCATTGGGCCCAATGAGCAGCGTGAGCCAGCCAAGGGGGGCTGCCCCGGCGCTCCATGCAGTCGTGCCGGCCACATGACCTTGGAGGTGTCTACGGACAACGCCGGCTCTTCGACTTAGAAATGCGGATGAGCACCACACCCCAGAGTCAGACACGACTGGACTTCATGTCAGAGGAAAACCTTTAACTAGGAAAACTGTGGAAAATCCAGGGTGGGAGAAAGAACTCTTGTCTGTTGGAGGTAGGTATGACTGTTTCAATTGGCCACCTTGATTACCATTTCATAGCCTGACAGATTTTAGGGAGAATCCTTTGTTGAGAGGTGATTAGCTGGCCCTGATTGTTTCTTGCCTGGAGTTCCCCTGTGTTTGAGTGTTGTTCTTTATTTACAGTTATAATTTTAGAGTTTTTTTTTTAATACTGGTAGCCAGATTTTGTTCAGACTAGAAATAAGAAGATTTCCCATTCTCTGCTCCTGGAATTACTGCCTAAAGAGGGCTAGAAAGAACCTCCTCAAAGGGCCCTTCCACACAGCAAAATAAGATATGTGCAATGTGCATAGGAATTTTTTTAAAAAAACTATAGTCCGGCCCTCCAACGGTCTGAGGGACAGTGAACTGGCCCCCTGTTTAAAAAGTTTGAGAACCCCTGTGCTAGAGTAAAAGGCCCTAAGTCACGCATGGCTCTCATATGGGGAGGCAAGGAATTCCATAAGGCAGGGGCACAAATAGAGAAAGCCCTGCACCTGGTACTTTCCAAATGCACTTCTCTAGGACCCGGTATATAGAGTAAATCGCGTTGGGAAGGACGTGGCAACCTCTGATGATGGAAGAAGGAGAGACGGTCTCTAAGATAGGATGGACCCTGGCTGTATGAAGTTTTAAAGGTCAGGACTAGCATCTTATATAGACCACGATAATCAATCGGAAGCCAATGTAGATGCCGCAGCACTATGAAATATGGCATTTCATAGGCGATTTTGTGAGTAACCTGGCTGCAGCATTCTGGACAATACGGAGCTTTCGGGTCGTAGATATAGGAAGGCCAACATACAAGGCGTTACAGTAGTCCAGCCTAGATGTGACCGTGGCATGGATGACTGTTGCCAGAGTCTCAACCGACAGGTAGGGTGCCAATTGCCTCGCTTGTCGTAGATGGAAAAAGGCCTGTTTGCTGGCAGCAGCGACCTGAGCTTCCATTGTCAGCTGTGAATCCAAAACGACACCTAAGCTCTTAGCAGTGGACGATGGAGATAGGGCGGCACCATTGAAGGTGGGTAGCGGATGGGTCAAGCCTTTCGAGCGGCCATGTCGAAGGATCTCAGTCTTCGCCGGATTCACTTTCAGCCTACTAGCACGTAGCCAGTTAGACAAAGCCTCCAGACATAAGGTGAAATTGTCTGGTATTGACGTTACTCCAGGCTCCAAACGCAAAAGGAGTTTGGACAAGGACAGAGAGGCTGGGAGAGAGCTGTCCTGAGTTGCCCTTCAAAAACAGCCTTTCGACAATGTTGAAAGTAAAAGAAAAATTCTATACTTCAGCAAACACAAAGACAGGGCCTTCTCAGTAATTGCCCCTCAGCTATAGAACTCCCTTCCTAATGAGATCAGGTCAGCCCCCTCCCGCTTGTCCTTTAGAAGGATGATAAAAACGTGGCTGTAGGACCGAGCCTTTGGGACTGTGCAATGAGTCATCGATAGGAACCCTTAGTATGCCAACCAAATTCGATATGGTTGTTGAGACAGTTTTAACTAGTGGATTTTAATGTCGAGATATGTGATTTCAATGCTTTTGTATATGTATGGTCTAATACATCGGTTCTCAGCCTGCGGGTCGCGACGCAAAGGTGGGTCGTTTGGCCATTTTCTGAGGGTCGCCAAGGTGCCTTGGCTGGCCCTGCCCCCTCAAAAATGGCTGCCGACCCCCTGAGTCAGCCAATTGGCACTTCTGGCAGGAGGAGCTTTGGAGGCAAAGGCACGGGGAAAGAAGACTCACCCTCGGTTCTGGCCCGCAAGGTGAGTAAACTGCTTACTGCCATCCTCAATGCCTGGCCATCCGTGGAGACTTTTCCCAAAGCCTCTGTTTTCTGTTGATTATGGGAGTGCTCTGTGCCAAGTTTGAGTCCATTCCATGGTTGCATGAGTTCAGAATGCTCTTTGATGGCAGAAGAACTATATATCCCAGCAACTCCAAAATGCCAAGGTCTATATTCCCCAGGCCTCTCTAGTATTTTCTCTTGATTATGGGAGTGCTCTGTGCCAAGTTTGAGTCCATTCCATGGTTGCATGTTCAGAATGCTCTTTGATGGCAGAGAAACTATATATCCCAGCAACTCCAAAATGCCAAGGTCTATATTCCCCAGGCCTCTCTAGTATTTTCTCTTGATTATGAGAGTGCTCTGTGCCAAGTTTGAGTCAATTCCATGGTTGCATGAGTTCAGAATGCTCTTTGATGGCAGGGGAACTATATATCCCAGCAACTCCAAAATGCCAAGGTCTATATTCCCCAGGCCTCTCCAGTATTTTCTCTTGATTATGGGAGTGCTCTGTGCCAAGTTTGAGTCCATTCCATGGTTGCATGAGTTCAGAATGCTCTTTGATGGCAGAGGAACTATATATCCCAGCAACTCTAAAATGCCAAGGTCTATATTCCCCAGGCCTCTCTAGTATTTTCTCTTGATTATGAGAGTGCTCTGTGCCAAATTTGAGTCCATTCCATGGTTGCATGAGTTCAGAATGCTCTTTGATGGCAGAGGAACTATATATCCCAGCAACTCCAAAATGCCAAGGTCTATATTCCCCAGGCCTCTCCAGTATTTTCTCTTGATTATGGGAGTGCTCTGTGCCAAGTTTGAGTCCATTCCATGGTTGCATGAGTTCAGAATGCTCTTTGATGGCAGGGGAACTATTCCTCCCAACAACTCTCAAATGTCAGGAAAATAACCCTAAAACTCTCCATTAATTTCTGTTGGTTATGTGAGTTCTGTATGCCAAGCTCATTCAATTCCATTTTGTTGGAGTTCAGAATGCTCTTTGATGGCAGAGAAACTATTAATACCAGCAACTGCAACTCCTAAGTGTCAAGATCCATTTCCCCCAAACTCCACCATTGTTCAAATTTGGGCATATTGAGTATTCATGCCAAGTTTGGTCCAGATCCATAGTCATTTGGGTTCACTGTGCTTTCTGGATGTAGGTAAACTACCTCTCCCGTAAATCACTGTCAATTCCTCTCAAACTCCTCCTGTATTTTCTGTTGTTCATGGGAGTTCTGTTCGCCAAGTTTGGTCCAGGCCTGTAATTCGTGGAGGATCTCAGTGGTCTGTGGAAGTCAGAGCTGAATTGGTTGAAGGTACTGAAAATCCCATAATCTATTGTCCACATTCCCCCAAACATATTTTTTGTGATTAATCACTATGCTTTAATTATGTTCAATTTGTAACATTGAAAATACGTATTAGGTATTTGCATTAGAATTCATAAGACTAGCAAAATTATTTATGAAGTAGCAACGAAAATATAGTTGGGGTCACCACAACATGAGGAATTTTATTTAGGGGTCACGCCATTAGAAAGGTTGAGAACCACTGGCCTAATATGTTTCGGCATTGAATGTTTGCCGTTTATATGTTGTGCTCCGCCCTGAGTCCCCTTCGGGATGAGAAGGGCGGAATATAAATGCTTTAAATAAATAAATCTATATATATATATATATAAATGCTCTGTGCATAATGAGTACCTTAAAAACAAAAGAACCAATGAACGAAATCACACCAAATTTGGCAACAAAACGTCTCACAACACAAGGAGTGACCATCACTCAAAAATTATGATTTTGTCATTTGGGAGTTGTAGTTGCTGGGATTTATAGTTCACCTACAATCAAAGAGCATTCTGAACTCCACCAATGATGTAATTGAACCAAACTTGGCACACGGAACTGCCATGACCAACAGAAAATACTGGAAGGGTTTTGGTGGACATTGACCTTGAGTTTAGGCGTTGTAGTTTACCTACATCTAGAGAGCACTGTGGACTCAAACAATGATGGATCTGGACCAAACTTGGCACAAGCACTCAATACGCCCAAATATGAACACAGAGTTTGGGGGAAAATTGGGGAAAATAGACCTTGACATTTGGGAGTCGTAGTTTCTGGGATGTATAGTTCACCTAGAATTAAAACGCCTTCTGAACCGTACCAATGATAGAATTGGGCCAAACTTCCCACACAGAACCCACATGATCAACAGAAAATGCTGAGTTTTCTGATTGTCTTTGGTGACCCCTCTGACACCCCCTCGAGGGGTCCCGATCCCCAGGTTGAGAAACACTGGTCTAAGGTAAGAGAGTTGAAGCCCCAAACAGCTGGAGGGCCGCAGTTTGAGGATGCCTGGGTTAGAGGAGTGGAGAGATCGATACAACTTACAGATAGAAAGGTAGATTGATATGTGAATAAATAAGAGGGAAAGGAGAATATACATGTGGGTGGATGGATGGATGGATCAATAAGGAGATGATGGAGGAAGACAGGGAAAGAAATGCATAAGTAAGGAGGCAGGTAGAGAAAGAGAGACTAGGAGAGAATATCTGTATTGTCACTGTACGTTGAACAATGGAATTCAATGCCACCCCCAATGCACATTATTGTAAATGTACAAACGCACCTTGGACATCCGACTGAAGTCTGCAAAGCCTTCGCTGCCACCTCCTCCACCTCCACTTCCTCCTCCTCCGCTGAAGGCGCTGCTGCCAAAGGCATCCAAGGTGCCAAAAGGGTCTAGAAGCAGGAAAAGAAAAGGTCTCCCCTTCAAATCAACCCACGGGAAAGGACTTTGCAGCCCACAGATCTTGCCCAAACTCTCTGACAGACATGAGAGGAGCCATGTGTAAATATGTGAGAGGAGGTCCTAAGGAAGAGGGAGCAGGCTTCCTTTCGGCTGTCCTAGAGAGTGGGACTCGATGGAGCCATGGGCTCAAAGGAAGAAAGGAGATTCCATATTCGGAAGAACCTCCTGACTGTAAGAGCTGTTCAGCAGTGGAACTCTCTGCCTCTTTCCTTGAGAGCTTTAAAATAGAGGCTAGATGGCCATCTGTTGGGGGTGCTTTGATTGTGTTTTTCCTGCATGAAGGCAGAAGGGAGTTGGATTGGATGGCCTTTGAGGGTCTCTTCCAACTCTATTATTATTATTATTATTATTATTATTATTATTATTATTATAATATTAATAAAATTACTGAGTCTGGATGACCATCTGTTGGGGGTGCTTCCACTGTGCATTTCCTGCATGAAAGCAGAAAGGGGTTGGACAGGATGGTTTTTGAGGGTCTCTTCCAACTCTATTATTATTACTATTATTAGTACCATCATTATTATTATTACATTAATAAAATTACTGAGGCTGGATGGTCATCTGTTGGGGGTGCTTTCATTGTGCTTTTCCTGCATGAAGGCAGAAGGGGGTTGGACTGGATGGCCTCTGAGGGCCCCTTCCAACTATTATTATTATGTTAATAATATTACTGAGGCTGACTGGCCATCTGTTGGGGTGCTTTCATTGTGCTTTTTCTGCATGAAGGTAGAAGGGGGTTGGACTGGATTGCCTTTGAGGGTCTCTTCCAACTGTTTATTATTATGATCATCATCATCATCATCATCATCATCATCATCATCTATTTCTCACCTGGGGCTTTTGAAGAGGCCATGCTCAAGGACAGGAAAGGGTCGTCGTTCTCGAAGAAGTTCGGCTAAAGATCAAAGAAAAGATGAGAGTGAGAGGCAGAAGCCCTGCTGGGAGATTGTTCTGCCAGGCAACACAATCCAGAAAATAATCTATATATATAAAATCCAAAAGGGCGTCATTAGGGACTGCAAAACGCGAAAACCCCCGGACGAAAAATCACCAAACTTGGCGTACGCATACCTCAAACCACAAGGTATGCACAACACTCATCACAATTCAAAACAACATTACAACAAACTCACAATCACAGAAACAAACAGAGCATGCGCAGAGCCTGTCCCGGCGCAAGCCGCCCGGCGTGCGCACATGGCCGGACCACGCCCCCTCCGTGGAAGCCACGCCTCTCCCTTCGCCGCCCCGCCCCTACCCGCCCCTACACCATCCTCCCCCCCTCCTCCCCCGCCCCCTCCGGGAAAGCCTCGCCCCCACCCTCCGCCGCCCCGCCTCTCCCCGCACTGACGCAATCCTTCCCTCCTCCCCCTCCTCCTCCGCCGCCCACGCCTCCTCCGAGAAAGCCACGCCCCCACCCTCCGCTGCCCCGCCCCTTCCCACACTGACGCAATCCTTCCCTCCTCCCCCTCCCGCCCACGCCCCCTCCGAGAAAGCCACGCCCCCTCCCTTCGCCTCCCCCCCCCTTCCCGCACTGACGCAATCCTTCCCTCCCCCTCCTCCTCCTCCGCCGCCCACGCCCCCTCCGAGAAAACCACGCCCCCTCCAGGGAAGGAAGGACGCCGCCATCGGGGATGATGAGGAACGGGAGGGAGGGAAGGAAGTGGGTGAGGGAAAGAAGGATGGAAATGAGGGGAAGGGGTGTAAATAGGAAGGAAGGAAGAAGAAGAAAAAAAGAAAATTGGGAAGGGGAAGGGAAGAAGGAAACAAAGAAGAAAAGTAGGAAGGGGAAGGGGAAGAAGGAAACAAAGAAGAAAAGAAGGAAGGAAGGAAGGAAGGAAGGAAGGAAGGGAGGAAGGAAGGAAGGAAGGAAGGAAGGAAGGCCAGGAAGAAAGGTAGGAAATAAACAAAAGGAGGGAAGGGGAAGGGAAGGTGTATGAAAACAGGAAGGAAGGGGAAGTTGGGAAAGTATATGAGGGAAGAAAGGTAGGAAAGAAAGAAGAAAGAGAGAGTAGGAGCATGGGAAAGAAGGGAGAAAGGAAGGAAGGAAGAAGAAAGGAGCGGAAGGGAAAGTGTAGGAACAAAGGAAAGGAAGGAAGAAAGGACAAGAAAAGGGAAGGGAGGAAAGAAAGAAGAAAAAGGGAGGGAAGGAGGAAAAGAGGGAAGGGAGGAGGAAGGAAGGAAGGAAGGAAGGAAGGAAAGAAAGAAAGAAAGAAAGAAAGAAAGAAAGAAAATGAAGTATGGAACTACAGAGCAAAGGAAGGAAGGAAAGAGAAAGAGAGGGAAGAAAGGAGACAAAGAGGAAGGAAAAGAAAAAGGGAGGAGGAAGGAAAGAGGTACAGAAGGAAGGAGGAGAGAAGGAAAGAAAAAAGGGAAGGGAGGAAAGACGCAGCAAAGGAAAAAGAGAAAGGGAGAGAAAGACGCAGGGAAGGAAAGAAATAAGGAGAAGGAAGGATGAAAGCAAACAGCTAAGGAAGGAAGTAAACAGGTAGAGAAGGAAGAAAGGAAAGAAGAAAATGGAGTGAAGGAGTGAAAGAAGCAGAGAAAGAGGGAGAGAAGGCTGGCCACAGCAACGTGTGGCGGGTAAAGCTAGTAATAATAAAAAAACCAATGAAAGTGCAAAACTGAAACCTTTCTTACTTTGGAGGGCAGGACGGGATTGTTTTGCAAGAAGGGATCGGACGTGAATGGGTCGCTCTTCTCGGCCTTCTTGAAGAAGTCTTCTGGCGCAGGAGCCCGGAAAGGGTCGCTCTCCTCGAAGGGATCTCCCCCAAAGGGATCTGTCCAAAGAGAGGTCAAGGCAAGGAGGGTTGTGTTGTATCCCAGAGCACGAACACCTCTGCCCTTAAAACACCATGCTAGTATAATAAAATCAGCCATTTTATTTTTACAGTATTTTCCGAAGGTCACAAAAACACAAATCCAAGGATCCAATACCCAGAACAGGAACCTGGCAAAACTTGAAACATGAAACTAGAAATCCACTTGTCAACGTTCAACGTTGACAAGACTGAGCTTCAATCCTTTCCCAGTCTCATTTAAAGCTTTTCCTGTCTCATGAAATGGAAGGAGACATCCAGTCTATGCATATCCGAGTAGGGTGGCCTTTTGCAGCCGACAGATGGTAATTTTGTCAGCACCAATTGTTTTTAAGTGCAGGCCAAGGTCTTTAGGCACTGCACCCAGTGTGCTTACCACCACTGGGACACCTTTGTCTGACTTGTGCCAGAGTATTATTATTATTATTATTATTATTATTATTTTACTGACACAAAAACACAGCATGTCACAGCAAATGAGATCTATATGCTGGATTTCATATTACAAAATCACAAGTCGAACACTTCCCAAGCGCCTAGGACTGTGTGATGTATTTTCGAATGATGCGCGCAGATAGTAATAATAATACGTCCCCTATGGGGACTCGGAGCGACTTACATGGGGCCAGGCCTGAACAACAAATTACAATAAAGAGAACCAAAAAACACAACCAAAAATGCAAACAAACGCAAACGCAAGTCAGGTGGCCTTTTGGAGTTGACAGATCGTGATTTTGTCAATGTTTATTGTTTCCAAATGCCGGCTGAGATCTTTTGCCACTAGGACCACCTGTACGAGATTATTATTATTATTATTATTATTATTTATTATTATTATTATTAGATACAGAACAAGATTAGTACAAAGCAAACAAGATCACTAAGCTGACTTTTGTATTTGATCACATGTCAGACATTTTCCAAGTGTCTAGGACTGTGTGATGTATCAGTAAATAATGCATGCAGGTCCGAGTAGGGCACACTGGTTGCAGTGCCTAAGGACCTTGGCCTGCACTTAAAAACAATTGGCGCTGACAAATTACCATCTGTCAGCCGAGTAGGGTGGCCTTTTGCAGCTGACAGATGGTAATTTGTCAGCGCCAATTGTTTTTAAATGCAGGCCAAGGTCCTTAGGCACTGCAACCAGTGTGCCAATCACCACAGGGACCATTTTGACTGGCTTGTGCCAGAGTGTCTCATATTATTATTATTATTACTAGCCGTCCCCTGCCACACATTGCTATGGCCCTCATGGGGGTTCTGTGTGGGAGGTTTGTCCCAATTCTATCATTGGTGGGGTTCAGAATGCTCTGTGATTGTAGGTGAACTATAAATCCCAGCAACTACAACTCGCAAATGTCAAGATTCTATTTTCCCCAAACTCCACCAGTGTTCACATTTGGGCATATTGAGTATTCGTGTACAGTTTGGTCCAGATCCATCATTGTTGAGTCCACAGCCATCTTTGGATGTAGGTGAACTACAACTCCAAAACCAAAGGACACTGCCCACCAAACCCTTCCAGTATTTTCTGTTGGTCATGGGAGAACTGTGTACCAAGTTCAATGTCATCATTGGTGGGGTTTAGAATGTTCTTTGATTGTAGGTGAACTATAAATCCCAGCAACTACAACTCCCAAATGACAAAATCATTTTTTTTTTTTTAGTGAAGGACATACATTGGGTTGTTAGGTGTCTTGCGTCCAAATTTGGTGTCAATTCGTCCAGTGGTTTTTGAGTTCTGTTAATCCCACAAACGAACATTACATTTTTATTTATATAGATTATTATTATTATTATTATTACTATTATTACTATCATCATCATCATCATCATCATCATCATCATCATAGAATCATAGAGTTGGAAGATACCTCATGGACCATCCAATCCAACTCGCTGCCAAGAAGCATCATCATTATTATTTTGCCCTGTTGTTTGAGATCCTGAGAACTGACCTATTATTATTATTATCATCATCATCATCATTATACCTACTCTTGTAAGTTCTTTAAATTATTCCCCTTACACTTTCCCTAAAATCCACTTTTGCCTTCCTTTCAAAATATACAAAAGTCAGCCTCAATTGATTTACAAGGAGCGGCCGGGGAAGAAATAAAATAATAATAATAATAATAATAATAATAATTAATATAATAATAATATATAATAATATATTATTATTAATATATAATAATAATAATAATAATTATTATTATTATTACTAGCTGTCCCTGCCACGCGTTGCTGTGGCCCAGTCTGTTGATCTGGAAAATAAAGTAATGAGAAAGTGTTGGTTTCTAATATATGTAATTTCTTTATGCTTCTGGGTAAACAGTATTTCTTGCTGTTTCTTTGTGAGCATTGATGTGGAGAGTGTCTGGTTTGCCCACCCTGGAACATGCAACATATAATTGTCCTTCTTTAAGGGTCCCTTTCAAATCTATGATACTATATTTGTGTGTGTGTTAATCATATCTATCTATATCTATGGCTGGATGGCTCTTTGTCAGGAGGGCTTTGATTACGTTTTCTTGCCCTGGTGAAGACAGTTTGACTGCATAGCCTTGAGTATTTTCTGTTGGTCATGAGGGTTCTGTGTGGGAGGTCTGGCCCAATTCTGTCATTGATGGGGTTCAGAACACTCTTTGATTGTAGGTGAACTATAAATCCCAGTAACTACAACTCCCAAATGTCAAGGTCTATTTCCCCCAAACTCCATCTGTGTTCATATTTGGGCATATGGAGTGCTTGTGCCAAGTTTGGTCCAGATCCATCATTGTTTGAGTCCACAGTGCTCTCTGGATGTAGGTGAACTACAACTCCCAAACTCAAGGTCAGTGCCCACCAAACCCATCCAGTATTTTCTGTTGGTCATGGGAGTCCTGTGTGCCAAGTTTGGTTCAATGCCATCGTTGATGGAGTTCAGAATGCTCTTTGATTGTAGGTGAAATATAAATCCTAGGAATTACAACTCCCAAATGACAAAATCATAATTTTTCGAGTGATGGTCACTCCTTGTGTTGTGAGACGTTTTGTTGCCAAATTTGGTGTGATTTCGTTCATTGGTTCTTTTGTTTTTAAGGAACTCATTATGCATAGAGCATTTATATATATATATAGATTACTATTATGGAATGAAACAGTAACGGTATTAAAAATAAACCCCTAAAACCTATGAAATAATAATAAAAATAACAATCAATAATATTAACCACCTCAAAATCACTGATTCCAAACTAAAAACAAAAGGCGAGTCTTTGGAGGGTCTCACCTGAGGCTGCCGGGGGTTGTTCTGCAAAGGGGTCGTTCTGGAAGGGGTCACCTGGGCAACAAAGGGAGAAAGGGAGGACGGATCACTTCCTGCCCAGCGAGACGTTACTTCCTGCCCCTCCCTCCTCCTTGCCCCCCCTTACTGCCTTTGAAGGGGTCCTCGGCGTGGAAGGGGTCCGGGGGCAGGTCGGGTGGCCCCATGCCTGCCCCGCTGAAGAGCAGTGCCTTGTTCCGGAAGGGGTCCTCCTGCAAACGCAAAGGAGAAGAAGAATTTTTGGAAGGGATCCGGTGGACCATCTAGTCTAACCCCCTTTTGCCTTCATTCAGAAAAGGCACAATCAAAGCACCCCCAACAGACGGCCATTTAGCCTTTGCTTAATAATAATAATAATAATAATAATAATTAATAATAATAATAATAATAGAATTGGAAGAGACCTTCAAAGGCCATCTAGTCCAACTCCCTTCTGCCACACAGGAAAAGCATAGTCAAAGCACCCCCCAGAGATGGCCATGTATGTATTTATGTGTATGTTTATACATGCGGTGGCGCAGTGGGTTAAAGCACTGAGCTGCTGAGCTTGTTGACCAAAAGGTCGCAGGTTCGATTCCAGGGAGCGGTGTGAGCTTCCGCTGTCAGCCCTAACTTCTGCCAACCTAGCAGTTCGAAAACATGCAAATGTGAGATCAATAGGTACCGCTCCGGCGGGAAGGTAATGGCACTCCATGTGGTCATGCTGGCCACATGACATTGGAGGTGTCTATGGACAACGCTGGCTCTTCGGCTTAGAAATGGAGATGAGCACCACACCCCAGAGTCAGACATGACTGGACTTAATGTCAGGGGACAACCTTTACCTTACCTTATACATGCATGTATGTGTATTTTGAATCATAGAATCATAGAGTTGGAAGAGACCTCATGGGCCATCCAGTCCAACCCCCTGCCAAGAAGCAGAAATATTGCATTCAAATCACCCTTGACAGATGGCCATCCAGCCTCTGTTTAAAAGTTTCCAAAGAAGGAGCCTCTACCACACTCCGAGGCAGGGAGTTCCACTGCTGAACAGCTCTCTTGAATGTGGAAGTATGTGTGTATATGTATGTATGTATATATGCATATTTTTTATTTATCGTGTCAGGAGCAACAAGACATTTGTATTACATTTTTAACAAAACAAACAAACAGACAGACAAAACACAAAGTTTGCAAGCTTGGTAGTTGATTAAATGTCCTTTGACCAGTATCTGGCCACTTGGAATGCCTCTGGTGTTGCCGCAAGGAGGTATGTATATACATGCATGTATATACATGCATGTATATATACATGTATGTATATACACATATATACATGCATATGTATGTGTTTGTATATATGTGTATGTATATGTATATATGTGTATGTATATGTATATATGTTTGTATATACATGTATTCACGTGTTTGTACATATGTGTATGTATATGTATATATGTGTATGTATATATGTTTGTATATACATGTATTCCCGTGTTTGTATATATGTGTATGTGTATGTATATGTATACGTATATATGTGTATGTATATATGTTTGTATTTACGTGTTTGTATATATGTGTATCTATATATGTGTATATGTATATGTATACGTATATATGTGTGTGTATATATGTGTGTATCTGTATATTTGTCTATGTGTATATATGTGTTTGCGTATAATAATAATAATAATAATAATAATAATAATAATAATAATAATAATACTTTATTTATACCCCGCCACCATCTCCCCAAGGGGACTCAGGGCGGCTTACATGAGGTCAAGCCCAACAATAATACATCAGTAAAACAACACAGCAACAAAATAAAATACAATACAAAGCAGTATAAAAACATATAAGATATAAAACAGAAAATTTAAAATACAAGAAACCAACACTGTGGGCAGGGCCAAATGTAATAAATTAAAATTTTAAACACTGGGTGTGAACAGCAGTAGAGTATGTCTAAACAGGGTTTTTTTTAGGGTAATGTAGGGAATTACTCCAATATGCACCTATATATATGTATGTATTTATGTGCATGTGTATATATGTATACCATTATGTATATACATAATCACGGGTTACAAAGCTAGGCCAAAACTAAGCAAGATAATTTCAGCAGGGAGAAATGTATGACCCTAGACCTAGACCATAAATGCTGTAACCCATCTTGAGCTGTGTGTAGAAGTGGGTATGAATTATTATTATTATTTGTAACACAACAAGAGGAGTCCACAGCAGGCACTCTGCTGGCTGTTGAATTGGATCACACGTCGGACACTTCCCAAGTGTCTAGGACTGTGTGATGCATCAGCGAATAATGCATGCAGATCCCAGTAAGGTGGCCTTCTGCAGCTGGCAGATAGTAATTTTGTCAGCGCCGATTGTGTTTAAGTGCAGGCCAAGGTCTTTAGACACTGCACCCATTGGGACCACGTTGACTGGTTTGTGCCAGAGTCTTTGCAGTTCGATTTTTAAATCCTCATATTGTGTCAGCTTTTCCTGTTGTTTTTCTGCAATCCTGCTTAATAATAATAATTATTATTATTATTATTATTATTATTATTATTATTATTATTATTATTATTAGATGCACTGCCCAGATCTAGGATGAGGGGGAGGTCTGGCTTGCACGAGGCACCTCGCAGGAGGGACTTCGGAGCCCGGGTAGGGATGATGCCTTTGTTTACAAAGTCCTGGGGCTGCTCACCAGGGCACCGAAGCCGGGTCGCTCCTTGGGCTGCGGAGGGGGGAGGCCTTCGCTGAGGTCGGCCAGGTTGGTCATGCTGCCTCCTCCCTGGTGGATGCCATTCAACCCCTCAGGGAATGGTTCCAGGCCCCGGCTGCTCTCCCGATGGCTCTCCTGCAGCTGTGAGAGGCGACTACGAGCCTGGCAATGGAAAGACAGAGAAAGACCACAAACATCACAGCCGGAAGAGGGGCACAAGACATCAGAACTCCCCATGAGAGAGAGAAAGAGAGAGAGTGATAATAAACAAATAATAAATAACAAATAATAAATGTAATAACCACAATAGAGAAAAATAATAAATGTAATAAAAATAATATTAGAGTAAAATAATTTAAATGTAATAGTAACAATAATAGAGTAACATAATAAACGTAATGATAATACTAGAGTAAAATAATGTAAATGTGATAACAATAATAAACAGAATAAAATAATAAACATAATAAAAATAATAAGAGTAAAATAATGTAAATGTAATAGCAATAAATAGAGTAAAATAATAAATGTAATAATAACAATAAGAGAAAAATGTAATAATAATAACCGAGTAAAATAATAAATAACTGACTCAACTATAAGTCTTTTTCAGCCTAAAAAAAGTGCTTGGCTTATACTGGAGTATATATGGGGTGTGTATGTATATACACACACACCCCTGTGGAATAATGTCCAGGGTGGAAGGAGAGAACCAATGTCTGTTATACAAGTCGACCAGGAAGGAAAGGCAAACGAAGGGAATCCATCCAAACTGCATTAAATGAATTTCTCACCCAAGGCTGACCGGGAGGGAAAGGAAACTGAAGGGAATCCATCCACACTGGTTTGAAAAACTGAATCATTTCCGACTCACTTACTGATTCGTAAGAGAAATGGCGGAAAAAGCTTCAGAATGGCAAGGGAACTTCCGGTTTCTTTAAAAACTTCGAAATCGCTTCAAAAAGAAAATCTTTCCTAATTTATTCCGAATTATGAAGATTCCGACCAAACCTAACCATGCCTACTTATTTTATTATTTGAAACTTATCATTATTCATTATTATTATTATTAGAAACTTATAATAATAAAAAATTATTATTATTATTACTATTATTATTATTATTATGGCTCCCAGGCAGCCAGCAACCAAGGGCTAGCAAATGCCACCCAGGCTAAGGATGTCTCCAAGGCAGTAAACAATTCAAAGGGATCAAAGGCCCGGCTACTTCTAAAACAATACTTATTATTATTATTATTATTATTATTATTATTATTATTATTATATCTCCAGGCACAAAGCAACCAAATGCCAACCAGACATAGGATGTCTCCAAGGCAATAGACAATTCAAAGGGATCAAAGGCCCGGCTGCTTCTAAAACAATACTTATTATTACCATTATTATTATTATTATTATTATTATTATTATTATTATTATTATTATTATTATTATTATATCTCCAGGCACAAAGCAACCAAATGCTAACCAGACATAGGATGTCTCCAGTGCAGTAAACAATTCAAAGGGGGAAAAGGCCAGTCTACTTCTAAAATAACAATAACAGTAACAATAATGTCTCCAGGCAGCAAACAATCAAGGGCCAGTGAGCGCCACCCAGGCAAAGGATGTCTCCAAGCAGCAAACAGTGCAAAGGGAAGCAAAGCCTGGCAGACCTGGTTTATCTCTTCCTGGGTGGACTGGAGGGACTTGATGATGGTCTCCAACTGGACTTTCCCGGCCTGCAGGCTCTGCCCCAGCTGGGTCTCCTCCTGTTGCAGCCTGTTCAGTTCAGCCTTGGCCTGTCCGATGCCCTCCGCCTGAGACTGCAGGTCCGACTCCTGCGACTGGATCTGCAGCTTCAGTGACGAAATCTGGAATGAGACGCAGGCAGAAAAAAGCATCAGTTTGAACCAAGGTCTTCCACGAACCTTGCTAGACACAACAGCCAGGCCTGGCCTAACTGTGTTGTGTTGTTTGTTGTAGAGGCATTCAAGGGGATAGCTCTTGGCGTTGTTTTTAAAAAAATGTTAATCGTAAATACTTTTGAAAAATTCCCGAAAATCAGTGGATGAGTGGAATGTCCTGAAACCTGGGGGCTTTACACCTGTAAATGTGTCCTACAATAATAATAATAATAATAATAATAATAATAATAATAATAATCTTTATTTATACCCCGGACAACATATTACAGCAAAAATAAAACCAAAACATAAGCAACAAACAGTAATCTTTGCACCTAGAAATACAAAAGTCTGTCTCGGCCTCCACTTTTTCTTGCTCTATTTCCCAGTTGTCAATCATTCTTGTTGCCATAATCTTGGTTTTTTTTATGTTTAACTGCAACCCAGATTTTGCGCTTTCTTCTTTCACCTTGATTAGAAGGATTCTCAGCTCCTCCTCACTTTCGGCCATCAAAGTGGTATCTACATATCTAAGGTTGTTAATGTTTCTTCCAGCAATTTTTGATCCTAATATTATAATGTAATACAATACTAGTAATAAAATAGAATAATTGTATATTATATATTACATGTAATAATAGTAATAATTCTGCAGTATAGTGGTACAGTACAATATAGTAATATAATAATAATAATAATAATAATAATAATAATAATAATGTGCTATGCTAATAATATGATATACTAGCTGTCCCCTGCCACGTGTTGCTGTGGCCCAGTCTGTGTATATGTGTATATATGTAGTTTTGCACATGTGTTGTAATGTATTTTCATTTTTTGGCTTTTTAAGTCTCTTCTGCTGTGTTTTTCAGTGTTTTTATGAGTGATGGTTACTTTTGGCCTGATAGGTGTCTTGTGTCCAAATTTCGTGTCAATTCATTTAGTGGTTTTTGAGTTATGTTAATCCCACAAGTGAACATTACATTTTTATTTATATAGATTATGCATTATTTATCACGTGTGTGTATATATACACACACACACATACACACACCATATTATTATATATAATTACTATCATCTTATTATATTATATTATGTATTATATATAATTATGTTATGTTATATGATGATGATGGCACTCACCACCTGGTTTTCCTCCTGGCACTTCTGTCGGACATCGCCCAGCATGTCCCGCAGCTTGGACTTCTGCTGGTCCATCTCATCCAGCCGGCCCTGAGCGTCCTGCTTCTGAGCTTCCAGCTCCTGCAGGCCGTTGGCCTCCCGGTCCAAATCGTTCTGCAGCTCCTGGAGAGACAAGAGGTGCTGGTCAAAAAGGGGATGGACGGGTGGCCATCTGTCAGGGGGGCTTGGGTGGTGCCTTCCTGCCTGATACAAAGGGGTTGGACTGGATGGCCTTTGGGGGGTATCTTCCAACTCTATGATTCTATAGCCTTATTCTTTCATGAGCCTTCTAGTGTCTATGAGGCTGGATGGCCATCTTTCAGGAGGGATGAGATTGTGTCTTCCTCAATGGCAGAAGGATGTTAATTGGATGGCTCTGCAGCCTTATTTCTATAACCTTATTTCTCCATGAGCCTGCTAATGCCTATGGGGTGGATGGCGATCTATCGGGAGGGATTTGACTATGTTTATGGAAGAAGGGGATTGGACTGGATGACCCTCTTTGGGGGTCTCTTCCGAGATTTATAGCCCTGTCTCTCTATGAATCTGCTAGTGCCTATGAGGTTGAATGGCCATCTGTCGGGAGAGTTTTGATTGTGTCTTCAACAATGGCAGAAGGATGTAATAATAATAATAATAATAATAATAATAATAATAATAATAATAATCTTTATTTATTACCCCGCCACCATCTCCCCAATGGGGACTAGGAGCAGCTTACGTGAGGCCAAGCCCAAATAACAATTACAATAAAGAAAACCAAAATCACAAACCGAAAACACGAACAATAAACAATAACATCATAGTTACACAAAACATAGGAATACATAACAATGTAAAAAATAATATGCACAGGCACAATAATAATGGGCAGGCTACATGTAGTAATTAAAAGGACAAACTGATTAAAACTAATTAAAAGCTCGGGCGAGATAAAAGAGGCAAGCAGGTAATTTATGGAGGAGGGCTCATTTTAGCGGGAGTTGTGGAAGCAAGCTTTCCCATGAGGGGGGACGTATACTCCAATGACAGAACTTTGAGTCAGAGCAATCATGTGGGATTATATACCTACTCATCAAAGGCGTAGCGGAAGAGCCGGGTTTTAAGGTTCTTTTTGAAGATTTCTAGGGAAGGGGCTTGCCTAATTTCTCCAGGCAGTGAGTTCCAGAGTCGGGGAGCCACAGCGGAAAAGTCTCCCTCCCTTGTATTCACTAGGCGAGCTTGAGAGACTGGCAGGGGCAAGAGAAGGGCCTCCCCGGAAGATTGGAGGGCCCGAGATGGTTCATGGCAGGAAATATGGTCACAAAGGTAGGCGGGTCCCAAACCGTTTATGGCTTTGTAGGTGATAACCTGCACCTTGAATTGGGACCGGAAAATAAACGGCAGCCAGTGGAGCTCCTTAAACAGGGGGGTTGACAACTCCCGCAGTTATTAATCTGGCTGCCGAACATTGGACAAGTTGCAGTTTCCGTGCCGTCTTCAAGGGTAGCCCCACATAGAGAGCATTACAGTAATCCAGTCTAGAGCTAACTAAGGCATGGACCACCATGGTCAAGTCAGACTTCACGAGGTAAGGTCGCAGTTGGCGCACACGTTTTAATTGTGCGAAGGCCCTCCCGGCCACTGCCGACACCTGCGCATCAAGCGTCAGTGCTGAGTCCTTGTGTTGCGGAATATACGTTACCCGAGATTCATTAGAGTGCGTTTGGAGAAGAAGATGGAGATACAGCATGTCTGATTTCACTGTTCTACAAATTTTCAGTTTTTCTCAGTTACGGAAACGAAATGTGCCGTTTTTTAATAAATTTAACATGCTGAATTCAAATATAATAATTAAATGTGTTAATTGGCTCTGGTTTTTATGCAACAGCTATTTCAATTTTCTCCACAATAGGTAATTCGTTAATATTATGATAATGCGCCTAACCTTACTGCATGTATATAAACCGTGAATATTTACTAAATTTTAGTCAAATTATATTGCCAATAGTTTATACATGAGAAATATTTATTTAATTAGTCTATTGTTTATGTTTGTGCAGCAAGAAACTCTATTAGTAGGCCTAATGCAGTTGAAAAGTCTGAAAGTTTAAATGTCGCTTTAATCGTGACTTTAGTTTATATCCTGTTTGCTTATCTTTTCTTTTGTATTCAAGGAAAGGATTGTCTCTTGCAATGCTCCAGCAGGAGTCTGACAGCATTGACGGAGTCCATTTGCCTTGATATCTTTTTTCCATAGTGCTTTATTGACACACGTGCGAGGCATAACTACAGTAAAAAGAACAATGTAAAACGATGTTTAACGATACTGTCTCAGTCTTCAACTGACTGACCCTCACCGTTCAAAAGTCTGGCCTTATATAGGGCTTTCTGGCTTTTGCACACGGCACTAATACTACGTCATCAAACTTTCTAGAATATTCTAGAATCTTCATAGTGTAAGTCGCAACATGCATTTTTTCAACCATATGTGATCACGTGATTGCTTATATCATAAAAACTAGAACCAATATAAATTTTTAAATGTCATTTTCGTTTTCAGCACCCCAAAAGAATCATAGAAGAATCATAGAATCATAGAATCAAAGAGTTGGAAGAGACCTCAAGGGCCATCCAGTCCAACCCCCTGCCAAGAAGCAGGAATATTGCATTTAAATATCCCTGCCAAGAAGCAGGAATATTTGAATGCAATATTCCTGCATTTTTTCAACCATACGTGATCACGTGATTGCTTATATCATAAAAACTAGAGCCAATATACATTTTTAAATGTCATTTTTGTTTTCAGCACCCCAAAATCATAAAAGAACAGCTATTTTCAGGCCCGCAACTTTCTAGAATCTTCCATAGTGTAAGTCGCAACATGCATTTTTTCAACCATACGTGATCACATGATTGCTTATATCATAAAAACTAGAGCCAATATACATTTTTAAATGTCATTTTCGTTTTCAGCACCCCAAAATCATAAAAGAACACCTATTTTCAGGCCCGAAACTTTTTCTCCGTTGAACAGTGTTTCCAGCGTTTATTCCTATCTCTGCAGAGTATAGGGTGTTCAGCAAGCAAGGGGCTGACACGTTGGAGGTCTGAATCGCTTCAGTATTTATAGCATAATATCAACCTTTCCACACATGCGCAGAAAGAGTCTGACATTTACACAATACAATCATTAACAGGTGTTTCCAGATATAGTTCCCAAAAACATCTTTATCAGGTCTTGGCAGCCACGTTGTGAACCCAAACATCTGCTTGATTATGCATCTTATCCCAACCTTCACCCGTTACCCTAAGATGACTCTTATATGTTCAATTCTCTAATTGAATTATAATTTTTATATGCTTATAACATAAGATTTGATCAAGGCAATCTCCTTTAGTTAATTCAGCCTTATAACTTATTTCTTAATATGAAGATCATGAAGGAAATTACTTAGGATAAAGCTTTTCTGAAATTTCCTGCTATTTACATTAAGTGGTCAGAGGATGGCGCTCTCTTACCATATGACCTTAGATGTTCCAAGTCTTGGATCGATACTATTGATCTCTTTGTCCTGCCAAACTTCTCTTGTTGACTTCATATCTAAGTAAACATCGGCTACAGCAAACACTTCTGACTGACCAAGATCCAGTGACGATCAATAACATCTGTAGGTTTTCTCATGCTTGCAAATTCACTCATAGAGAAAGGGTCTTTCCCTTTCAAAGGATCAGGTAAGAACTTAAATCTTCTATTTGATTCTAAATAATTATGATTTCCCTTTATTATTATTTTATTTTCTCCTAACGGCTGCCACACTTGTGGCGTCTTCCATCTCTCAGATTCTATATTTTTTAACAGCCTGGAGGGAGGACTTTGCTGGTATCGTCTTGCCTGCCAGAAGGAGGTTGGACTAAATGACCTCTAGGTGTCCCTTCCAACTCTATGAATGTGATTCTAGGAAAATATTCCCCAAAGCTCCACATTTCCTATTCTGAGGCAAGAGGGGATGCAACTGGTTTGAAGTGTCATCTCCATTCTTTTTGGGATGGCCCAAACAGTCCCTGCAGGAGCGCCAATGGGGAGCGAAGAGCACCTTCCCCCTTACCTGGACTTCACTGGTTTTCTGGCGGATGGCCCCTTCCCTCTCACGGATTTCTTGCTCCAAGGAATACTTCTCTCTGCAAAGCAACAGGTGCGTCAGATTTCGCCTTCTCTGTGTTTTGGGGTCGAAGTAATTTCCTATTTGGTCTTAATATGTCTATTTCACTTATCCTTTTTGTACCAAAGGTAGGCACGCCATCCGAAACTTGCATTGACAGCTTGGCCATTTCTCTATATTCTCAGGGCTAGCAATGCCGCCAATGACTCTCCATCTCGAGAGGTCCCAGAAGCCGTGGGGGCTTTCCTTCCTTACCGCTGGAGGAGGGCGATCTCCTGGCTGATGTCATCCAGCTCCTTGACACCCGTGAACTCCCCGGATCCCACCGAACTTGAGCTGTCCTACAAGGGGGGTGGACACAAAATATTACTGTTATTAACATTATTATTATCATTATTATTACTTATATCCTGCCTTTCTCTCCAACAAGGAGACTCAAAGCACCTCAATGACAGACTCAAAGATAGATGATATTATTATTATTATTATTATTATTATTATTATTATTATTATTATTATTATTATTTGAAACGAAAACAAGATCACGCTGCTGGCTGTTGTATTGGATCTCACGTTGGACACTTCCCAAGTGTCTAGGACTGTGTGATGTATCGGCTAATAATGCGTGCAGATCCCAGTAGGGTGGCCTTCTGCAGCTGGCAGATGGTAATCTTGTCAGCGTCGATTGTGTTTAAGTGCAGGCCAAGGTCTTTAGGCACTGCACCCAGTGTGCTGATCACCACTGGGACCACCTTTACTGGTTTGTGCCAGAGTCTTTGCAGTTCGATCTTTAAATCCTTGTGGCACAACCTGGGGATCACAACCAGACACAGTGAAGACATCTGCCTTTGCACTTTGCTTCTCTGCTGCTGAATATGCAGTCACAGTGTGGAAAACAGTGGATGTGGCTCTTAATGAGACATACCACGTTATCATCTCACAGCGACACCAGAGGCACTCCAAGTGGCCAGCTTCTGGTCAAGGACACTGAGTGCAATGCCAAGTTTTCTTTTTTAACATTGTGTTTTGAAATACATTTTAACTGTACCCTCAACTCGCTTCTGACACAATAAATAATAATAATAATAATAATAATAATAATTATTATTATTATTATTTATAACCTGCTTTTCTTTCCACAAGGAGACGTAAAGCGGCTCAAAGACAGACTCAGATAGATAGGTATTATTATTATTATTATTATTATTATTATTATTATTATTATGTTTATTTATACCCTGCTTTTTCTCTCCACAAAGGGACCTCAAAGCAGCAATTCCATACAATTTTAAAATATACAAATATTAAAACAGAATTAAATATCATTAGCATTCAAAGCAATTCAGTTAAAATCCACAAATATTCAAAACGAAGAAATCCATCAAAGAGAAAAGTGCATAGAAGGGGAAGGTGCAGATAAAAGAATGGTAACATGAAAATGAGAGGCTTGTTTAGGTAGAGGCAGCAGTTGAAATAAAGTGTAAATATGGTGATGTAAAGCTAAAATAAATAATAGTTAAAATATATTGGTGGGGCAAAACAAAAACGTAGGGAGAAAAGTCCTGAATGAGAGCCGGGATCCGTGCCCCAGATGTCAATGGGAACCGAGGGAAAAAGGGATGCAGAAACTGCAGAATGGCTGGCCGTGGCTCACCTGTACAGGGGTGGTCCTTTCTGAAGGGGGGATCATGTCCGGGAGCAGCGCCTGAGGAGGATCCAAGCCCTTGCTGACCTTCTGCTGGATGAAGTGCATGGCCAAAGCAAACTGGTCCTTGTTCAGCTTCCCCGTCTGCCGGGTGTCCGCCAAGGCCCTGCCGGGGAAAAGCAAGCAGCCATCAATGATGATGATGATTACCATTATTATATTATTATTATTATTATTATTATTATTATTATTATTATTATTTGAAACATAACAAGATGAGTCCACAGCAGACAAGATCACTCTGCTGGCTGTTGTATTGGATCACACGTCAGACACTTCCCAAGTGTCTAGGACTGTGTGATGTATCAGCAAATAATGCGTGCAGATCCCAGCAAGGTGGCCTTCTGCAGCTGGCAGATGGTAATTTTGTCAGCGCCAATTGTGTTTAAGTGCAGGCCAAGGTCTTTAGGCACTGCACCCAGTGTGCCAATCACCACTGGGAGCACCTTGACTGGCTTGTGCCAGAGTCTTTGCAGTTCAATCTTTAAATCTTTATTATTATTATTATTATTATTATTATTATTATTATTATTATTATTATTATTATTATAGCTTGGGGACCAGGAGGTACGCAGCTTATTTGAAAAAGGCATTGTTTGTTTTGGGGTGAAAGGTAATAACATTTCGTGAAGTAGTAGATGGATAGGAAGGATAATAATATCGAGGATAGTTTTGACGGTGTGATGAGTGAATTAGAACCAGACATCCTGAGGAGTGAAGTTGGATGGGCCTTAAGAAGCATTGCTAACAACAAGGCAGCAGGAGATGACGGGATCCCAGCTGAACTGCTTAAAATCTTGAAAGATGATGCTGTCAAGGTGATGCATGTCATATGCCACAAATATGGAAAACACAAGAATGGCCATCAGACTGGGGAAAATCCACTTATATCCTCATACCAAAAAAAGGGAAATGCTAAATAATGCTCAAACTTTCACACAGTGGCCCATATTTCTCATGCCAGGAAGGTAATGCTCAAGATCCTGCAAGGAAGACTCCAGCAATACATGGAGCGAGAGTTGCCAGATGGACAAGCTGGGTTTAGAAAAGGCAGAGGAACGAGAGACCAGATTGCCAATATCCGCTGGATAATGGAGAAAGGCAGGGAGTTTCAGAAAAATATCTATTTCTGTTTCATTGACTATTTTAAAGCCTTTGACTGTGTGGATCATAATAAATTGTGGCAATGGATGGTATGGCCATACCAAGCCACCTTGTCTCTCTCCTGAGGAATCTGTATAAGGACCAAGTAGTAACAGTAAGAACTGACCATGGAACAACAGACTGGTTCAAGATTGGGAAAGGCATACGGCAGGGTTGTATACTCTCACCCAACTATTCAACTTGTATGCAGAACACATCATGCTCACGATCCCTCCTGCGTTGCAAGCGCATTTGATGGGGACGAGGGACAGGGCCTTCTCTGTGGTAGCCCCTCCCCCGACTCTGGAACTCTCTCCCCAAGGACATCAGACAAGCCCCAACGTTGGCAGTCTTTAGGAAGAGCTTGAAGACCTGGCTGTTCCAGTGTGCCTTTCCAGAATAGGAAACTCCCAGCATCATGTCCCAAATGCACTTTATTAGAGATTTAAGATTGCCTGCACATTGCACCACCCTAAAATCCTTACAATTACCTGTCATGTCCAATACTTCTAATTTTTATTAATTACATTTTAACTGTGTCATGACGTCATTGTTTAATGTTTTATTGTTTATTGCTTAAAGTTTATTGGTTTGCTTGAGTTTTATTGTGTATTTGTTATGCTGTTGTTTTATTGAGGGCCTTGGCCTATGTAAGCCGCACCGAGTCCTTCGGGAGATGTTAGCGGGGTATAAATAAAGTTAATAAATAAATAATAAATAATAAATGCGATGTGTGGGGCTTGACGAATGCAAGGCTGGGGCGAAAATTGCTGGAAGAAACATTAACAACTTAGATATGCAGATGATGCCACTTTGATGGCCGAAAGCAAGGAGGAGATGAGGAGCCATCTAATCAAGGTGAAAGAAGAAAGCGCAAAAGCTGGGCTGCAGTTAAATATAAAAAAACTGTTTTGCCTATGGAACTATTGCATTTCTATTTCTTTGTTTTGATTTTGCTTTTCTCAATAAACTACAAAAACCTACAGCCTTGGTGTGGTGGTGTCTGGAGCAAGGTGAAAACTACCCTGAGTTGCAACAACAATCAACTGCCATATGTAAGGAATGACCAAACAGCCGCTGAATGTTGGCAAAGCCTAAAGTAAATTTACCTGAGCCAGTCAGCAGGCACAAGAAAGTACACAATTTAAAACTTCAGAAGGGGGAAAGCGTTACAAACCACCTGCAGCAGATAAGGGCTCTGTTCATGGACTTGGAAGAAAGGGTCACGTGCTATACTGAAGAAAACAAAGCTTATATTTGCATAAATAGGAGATCTAGATCCAGGGAAGTCATGATACCCCTGTATTCTGCTTTGGTCAGACCACTTTACCTGGAATCACACTTTCTGTATATATCTCAGCCTTTCTGTATATATTTCAGATTTCAATATGGATGTCAAAAATACGTAGTATGATTTTACATAGGATTTGTGCTACATTAGAACAGTACAGACAAATATCACTTAAGTAAAATAAACATTAAGTATTAAATAACCAGAAAAATAAAATAAGGGGTAAACACTAAACTAATCTGGGAATCTGCTATTGCAACACATCCAATGAAGTGGTTTAAAACAAATATAAAAAAAGATTAGGACTAAGGACGTTCCAGTCTACTTGGAATACACGAAGCTCATTCCACAACTGAAGGGAGATGTTGACTCTAAGCTGGAATGTGTCCAAAGAAAGAAGGCAACTCAAAGGATCAAGGGTCTGGAGAACAAGTGCTATGAGGACAGAGCAGCTGAAAGAGCTGGGCATGTTTAGCCTGCAGAAGAGAAGGCTGAGAGGAGTCATGATGAGGGCCAGGGATCAAGAGGTGAGGGAAAATCATAGGGAGGAGGGAGCAAGCTTCCTATCTGCTGCCCTGTGGAGCCCCCGGTGGCGCAGTGGGTTAAACCCCTGTGCCGGCAGGACTGAAGACCAACAGGTCGCAGGTTCGAATCCGGGGAGAGGGATGAGCTCCCTCTATCAGCTCCAGCTCTTCATGCGGGGACATGAGAGAAGCCTCCCACAAGGATGATAAAAACATCAAATCATCCGGGCGTCCCCTGGGCAACGTCCTTGCAGACGGCCAATTCTCTCACACCAGAAGCGACTTGCAGTTTCTCAAGTCGCTCCTGACTAGGCTGAGGAACACTGGCTTCAAACAACCGGAAAAGAGATTCTACCTGAACACGAGGAAGAACTTTCTGTGAGAGAGAGCTGTTCAGCAGTGGAACTCTCTCTCTGCCCCGGAGGGAGTGTAGTGGAGGCTCCTTCTCTGGAGGCTTTGAAACAGAGGCTGGATGGCCATCTGTTGGGGGTGCTTTGAAAGCGATTTTCCTGCTTCTTGGCAGAATGGGGTTGGGCTGGATGGTCCACCAGGTTTCTTCCAACTCTAGGATTCTATGATTTTAATTTCCTCATTATCCAAAGATTGGGACAATTTTGTTTTGCTATGCAAAATAAGGACTTAATCGTTGACTATGTGTCTTCAAGGATTTTGGAGAAGGAAAGGAGGCTAAACTTTGAGTCATCCTGCAAAGGAAACCATCGAGTAGCTACTACAAGAAAGGCTAATGAAGCTGTGAGTAGTCAGGATTACACAAGGGTGTTCAATGTAAGAAAATGTTTTGGGTGTGGAGCTGTCACCTTTCTGGAGACATTGTTGTTATTGTTGTTGTTACTACGAAAGAGCCTGGCCTTTGCTCCCTTAGAATTGTTTACTGCACTGGAGATATCCTTAGCCTGGGAAGTGACCACTAGCCCTTGATGGCTTGCTGACTGGAATCATCATCATCATATTTTAGAAATAGCCTGGCCTTGGTTCCCTTTGAATTGTTTGCTGCTTGGAGACATCCTTTGTCTGGGTGGCATTCGGTTCTTTCCTCCCACCCCAGACATTGTTCCACAATCTATATATATAAAAATGCTCTGTGTGTAATGAGTACCTTAAAAATGAAAGAACCAATGAACGAAATCACACCACATTTGGCAACAAAACGTCTCACAACACAAGGAGTGACCATCACTCAAAAAATTATGATTTTGTCATTTGGGAGTTGTAGTTGGTAGGATTTATAGTTCACCTATAATCAAAGAGCATTCTGAACTCCACCAATGATGGAATTGAACCAAATGTGGCACACAGAACTCCCTTGACCAACAGAAAATACTGGAAGGGTTTGGTGGGCATTGACCTTGAATTCTGGAATTGTAGTTTACTTCCATCCAGAGAACACTGTGGACTCAAACAATGATGGATCTGGACCATACTTGACAGGAATACTCAATATGTCCAAATGTGAACACAGATGGAGTTGGGGGGGGGGGGGGGGGGAGAGAATAGACCTTGACATTTGGGAGTTGTAGTTACTAGGATGTATAGTTCATCAACAATCAAACAGCATTCTGAACCCCACCAATGATGGAATAGGGCCAAACATCCCACACAGAACCCCCATGACCAACAGAAAATACTGTGTGGTCTTTGGTGACCCTTCTGACACCCCCCTGGTGACCCCTCTCCTCGGGGTCTTGACTTCCCAGGTTGAGAAATGCTGCCTTAAGGCTATCCAATCCAAATCCCTTCACCAGGGCAAGAAAACATAATCAAAGCCCTCCAAACAAAGGGCCATCCAGCCATTCACACACATATATACGTATATGACAGATTCAGTATCATAGATTTGAAAGGTACCCCTAAAGAAGGACAATGATATGTTGCATGTTCCAGAGTAGGCAAACCAGACAATCTCCACGTCAACACTGGCAAAGAAACAGCAAGAAATACTGTTTACCCACAAGCATAAAGACATTATATATATTAGAAACCAACACTTTCTCATTACTTTATTTTCCAGATCAACAGACTGGGCCACAGCAACGCGTGGCAGGGGACCGCTAGTATATACATACATCTCCTTCACTTGCTTGGCTCCCATTAGATACTCTGCAGATGCCAGTAGGAGATGCTGACAAAACAAATGGAAAAAAACTAAACACATGCTGCTAGAACTCATTGGCTGTACTGCCCGCACACCACCCAATAACACCACCACTCCAGAGATATTCCGATCATGAAAGCCTTCGACAGCAGCAACAGGGTTTTCTTTGCGAGGAGGGAGAAAGTCTTACCAGATGTGGGCCAGGAGGTTCTGGGAGAGGCCCGAGTGCATGAAGATGTCCTTCACCTCCAGGCCGCTGACAAAGCCGTCCTGGTCCAGGTCCGTTTTCAGGAAGATCTCGTCGTAGCGCACCTTGTCTGACAGAAGCACCACCCAGTTGGACGACGGGGCCTGGAACGGAAACCAAGACTCATCTGAAAGTCCACCCCAAGCTGCAATTTCACATTGGGAATGACCATGACTGGAACTCCCCCACCATCCCTATGATGATCATGATTACTATTATTACTATGATTATTATGATTATTATTTTTGCCCTTTTCAAGGCTTCCCAATTCCCTATGCCCAGTCCTTCCCTCACCGGGGAAATATCAGGGGTGATTTCATGGTGCTTTCCTCTTCCAATTCTATTATTAGTATTATTATTATTATCGTTGTCATCATCATTATGGCTTGTTCTTCGGCTGCAAGAATCAGGCCCTCCATCTGAGTCACATTCATGTTTTTACTTGTCAATTTGGCTCTCATTTTTCCCCAGTTTTCTCTTCTGCTCTGCATTATATTTCTAGTTTTCCCTCTATGTCTTTTGCACTTTAAGCAGTTTTCTACGATTGACTTCCATAAATGATGGTTCTTGACTGCCTTTCCCATCATCTGCCAGTGCATGTTTCACTTGTAGAAGCCCTCTCGCTGCCTCCTGATTTCCTGAGCAGGTCAAGCCTGTCGACATCACATTATTATTATTATTATTATTATTATTATTATTATTATTATTATCATTAATGTTATTATTAATATTATCAATAATACTATTGAGGCTGGATGGCCACCTGTGGGGGTGCTTTGATAGTGCTCGTCCTGCATGAAGGCATAAGGAGGTTGCACTAGATGGCTCATGCGGTCTCTTCCAACTATTACCATTATTATCATTAATATTGAGACAGGATGGGCATCTGTCGGGGGGGGGGGGGCTTTAATGGTGCTCTTTATGCATGAAGGCAGAACTGGGTTGCACTAGATGGCCCATGTGGTCTCTTCCAACTCTATTATTACGACTATGATCATCATTAAGATTATTATTATGAATATTATGAATATTATTATCATTAATACTATTGAGGCTGGATGGCCACCTGTTGAGGTGTTTTGATTGTGCTTTTCCTGCATGAAGGCAGAAGAGGATTGCACTAGATGGCCCACACGGTCTCTTCCAACTCTATTATTATTACTCTGATCATCATTAAGATTATTATTAAGATTATCATCATTAATATTATGAATATTATTATCATTAATACTATTGAGGCTGGATGGCCACCTGTTGAGGTGTTTTGATTGTGCTTTTCCCGCATGAAGGCAGAAGTGGGTTGAACTAGATGGTCCACGCGGTCCCTTCCAACTCTATTATTATTACTACGATCATCATTACGATTATTATTAAGATTATCATCATTAATATTATGAATATTATTATCATTAATACTATTGAGGTTGGATGGCCACCTGTTGAGGTGTTTTGATTGAGCTTTTCCCGCATGAAGGCAGAAGAGGGTTTGACTAGATGGCCCATGGGGTCTCTTCCAATTATTATTATTATTATTAAGCAGAGGCAGGATGACCATTTGTTGGGAGTGCTCTCCCTGAGGGAAGGCGAAAAGAAGAGGGTTGGGCCAGATGGCCTTTAGAGGCCCCTTCCACCTCTTCCCTGGTGGTGGGTGGGTGGGGGCCCACCTGTCCCTGCTTGAGGCTGTGTTTGGGGGAGAGGCTCCCGGCGCTGTTGAGGCTGCTGACGCTGCCGTGGGAGGGGGTGGAGCGCAGGCTGTCCTTGGGAGGCGGGGGGCTGGCGGGCAGCACGGGCACGGCCCCCGGGAAGGAGGAAGGAGAGGGACCGCCTTTCTTGCGCTTGGAGGGTGGGACCAGTGAAGCGGGCAGCGACAAGGGCACCGGCTCCTTCTCCAGCGCTCGGTAGACCAAATGCATCGCCTGCAAGAGAGCAGAACAGACTCATGGCTTTGCCATTGTACAGTGTGCAACCGACTCAAATGCCACCCCAATGCACATTCTTATATATCTAGAATGACCAAAACAAAGCACCCAATCTTCCACATTCTAATCGCTCTTGCACAGCCCCATAATGCCAATGTAATAATAATAATAATAATAAACTTTATTTATACCCCGCCACCATCTCCCCAATGGGGACTTGGAGCGGCTTACATGAGGCCAAGCCCGAACAACTAATTACAATAAAAATAAAACCAAAACACAACCGAAAACACAAACAGTAAACAGCAACATCGTAATAAAATAAAACATGTAAATACATAACAATATAAAGTTAAAATAGACACAATCACAATGACAATGGGCGGGCTGCATGTAATGATTAAAAGAGAGACTAATTAAAACTAATTTAAAACTCAGACGAGATAAAAAGAGGTTATTTGCGGAGGAGAGCTCATTATAGCAGAGGTTGAGGAATCAAGCTTTCCCACAGAGGGGGGACGACATATACTCCAATGACAGAACGTTGAGGCTAAGCAGTAGTGTGGGATTGTATACCTACTCTCCAAAGGCGCAGCGGAAGAGCCAGGTTTTAAGGTCCTTTTTAAAGGTTTCAAGGGTAGGGGCTTTCCTAATGTATTAATGAATGGGTGGATAAATGATCCAAAAGAGGCATATGATAAAGAAATACACAAGTGAAGGGAGAGGGAGAGAGAGAGAGAGAAATGCATTGGCAGATGGATGGATGGGAAGGGAGTCAGAGAAAGATGCAGGAGAATAGATGGAGAGATAGAGAAGGAGAGAAATGTATTGGTGGGTGGGTGGATGGATGGGAAGGTGGATCAGTACGCAGATGGTAGAGAAGGCTCTACACGGGGAAGGCATGTGGACCCAATCCCCATCACCTTGGTTAATTATTGTAATTATTATGTTTATTTTTATCCCACTTTTCTCTTCTCAAGGAGATTAAAAGTAGATCAAAGATAGATATTAATTTTATTAATATTAATATCCTGCTTTTCTCTCCACAAGGAGACTAAAAGCAGATCAAAGATAGACAGATAGATAAAAAGATAGATAGGCAGATGGAAAGATAGATAGTCAGAAAGACAGGTAGATAGAAAAAAAGAAAATTAAGTAGGTAGAAAGAAAGAAAGAAAGAAAGAAAGAAAGAAAGAAAGATAGATAGATAGATAGATAGATAGATAGATAGGTAAATAGATAAATAGAAAGGGCCGAGCTGTAGCGCAGCTGATTAATTGTCAGCAGCAATTAATCACTGACGATTGGAAGGTGGTAATTCTGAAACCCAAGTCAGATTTAGTGCCCAGCTCACTCTTCACCTAAGCAGTTTGAAAACAGCGGAGATGTGAATAGAGAAATTAGGCACCGCTTAGCAGGGAGGTATTTTACGACACCATAGGGTGATCAAAGGACAAAGGAAGGAAATCTCTGCGCTCAAAAGGACTTGTTGTCACAGTGGATGGAGCGACAGCACCCCTCTGTGGCCAGAATCAAGCATAACCTCCAGGTGACGAAGTTGGAAAACACCAAAATACCTCTATTTGTCTGTCTTGTGTGTCTAAAAACATAATTGAATGCTTGCTGTGTATGTGTGCATTGTGATGTGCCCTGAGTCCCCTTCAGGGTAAGAAGGGCGGAATATAAATACTGTAAATAAATAAATAAATAATAACACTTTATTTATATTCCGCCCTTCTCACCCCAAAGGGGACTCGGGGCGGATCACAAATACACATACACGGCAAACATTCAATGCCATTTGTATAGACAATACACAGACAAAACAGAAGGAGGTGTTGTTTCGATGCCATGGACGGTTGGGCTCGAGTCCACAGGGGGTGCTGTTGCTCCATCCTTTATGATGAAGAGCTGTCAGGACTTCCTCATTCCAGCATTTTCTGATCTTCTTTTTCTTTATGGCATTGTAAAACACCTCCCCCGCTTTAGTGGTACCTAATTTCTCTAATTACAGCTAAAGCTGTTTTCAAACTGCTTAGATAAACAGCGAGCAGGGCTGACGGTCGGCCGCTCATGCCGACCCGGGGGTTTAAAGCTTGCAACCTTTCGGTTGATAAATCTCATAGTTGCTGATAATTTACCAGCTATGCTGGTGCTAGACAGAAAGATAGATAGGTAGATAGAAATATAGATAGACAGACAGACAGATAAACTCAAAGATAGATAAGATCAATTATGATTATGATTATTATTATTAGATAGACAGACAAACAGATAGCAAGATAGACAGGTAAATAGATAGAAAGGTAGGTAGAAATATAGATAGATAGATAGATAGATAGATAGATAGATAGACTCAAAGATAGATAGAAAGATAATAATAATAATAATAATAATAATAATAATAATAATTAGATAGACAGACAAACAGATAGGTAGATAGGTAGGTAGGTAGAAATATAGATAAACTCAAAGATAGACAGAAAGATAGATTATGATTATTAGATAGACAATAGATAGGTAAATATGTAGATAGATAGATAGATAGATAGATAGACAGACTAAAAGATAGATAGAAAGATAATAATAATAATAATAATAATAATAATAATAATAATAATAATAATTAGATAGATAGACAGACAGACAAACAGATAGGTAGATAGGTAGGTAGGTAGGTAGGTAGGTAGAAATATAGATAGATAGACTCAAAGACAGATAGAAAGATAGATTATGATTATTAGATAGACAATAGATAGGTAAATATGTAGATAGATAGATAGATAGATAGATAGATAGATAGATAGATAGATAGATAGYTAGGTAGGTAGGTAGGTAGAAATATAGATAAACTCAAAGATAGACAGAAAGATAGATTATGATTATTAGATAGACAATAGATAGGTAAATATGTAGATAGATAGATAGATAGATAGATAGATAGATAGATAGATAGACAGACTAAAAGATAGATAGAAAGATAATAATAATAATATTAATAATAATAATAATAATTAGATAGATAGACAGACAGACAAACAGGTAGATAGGTAGGTAGGTAGGTAGGTAGAAATATAGAAAGATAGACTCAAAGACAGATAGAAAGATAGATTATGATTATTAGATAGACAATAGATAGGTAAATATGTAGATAGATAGATAGATAGATAGATAGATAGATAGATAGATAGATTCAAAGATAGAAAGATAGATTATTATTATTACGATTCTGTTAGCATCCATGCCAACCCACCACGGCAAACTCATCTCTGTCCAGGTGGCCATCCTTATCGATGTCGCTCAAGTCCCAGACCTGTGTGATGGGGAAAGAGTCAAAAGAGAGAGAACAGGAATATCAGGCCTTTTACAACAGGCAGCCATCTGGCGTCATCAACACTGAGAGAGGAGAGGAGGAAGCCATAAGATCTGAATAACAACAACAACATTTGAAGTGCTGAGTTGTGATGTTGATAGCTAAAGCTGGGAACTTAGTGACTTGGGCTGGGATGAGAGGGAGGGAGGTATAGCCAAGCGCTTTCTGCACCAAATGCTCAGAAGGAACTTTCTCTCTGTAATAATCGGGAAAATAAAGGAACCTGTTTCTAGCATTGGTTTGTGAGGAGGTTTCCTCCGAGGGATCTCCTGTCCAGGACATAAAGTCACGGGCTGCAAATCCATAGAGCCAAAGTCCCATCAAAACACCCCCGACAGATGGCCATCCAGCCACAATAATATTAATGAAATTAATAATAATAATAATAATAATAAAAAAAATAGGAACGCATAGGCCTTCTAGTCTACCCCCTTTTGCCTTCATGCTGTAAAAGCACCATCAAAGCATCCCGACTGATGTCCACCCAGCCTCTAACAGAACAAATGTAACTATTAGATATATTAAAAATTAACTGGGTATTTTTGATTACAAAGGTGTGACTCAAGCACTGAAGGAGTTAGTCGGCCGAAGCAGAGTTGCCCTGAGGAGAATGAGTAGGCCGAAGCCTGTTATAGTCAGTGGGCCAAAGCTAGTGTCGTCCTGAGGAGAGTGAATAGGCTGAAGCCTGTTAGAGTCATTGGGCCAAAGCTAGTGTCATCCTGAGGAGAGTGAATAGGTCAAAGCTTGTTAGAGTCAGTGAACCAAAGATAGTGTCATCCTGAGGAGAGTGAATAGGCCGAAGCCTGTTAGATTTAATGGGCTAAAGCGAGTGTTGTCCTGAGGAGAGTGGGTAGGCTGAAGCCTGTTAGAGTAATTGGGTCAAAGATAGTGTCGTCCTGAAGAGAGTGAGTAGGTGAAGCCTGTTAGAGTCAGTGGGTCAAAGCTAGTGTCATCCAGAGAAGAGTGAGTAGGCCGAAGCCTGTTAGAGTCAGTGGGCCAAAGCTAGTGTCGTCCTGAGGAGAGTGAGTAGGCCGAAGCCTGTTAGAGTCTTTGGGTCAAAGATAGTGTCGTCCTGAAGAGAGTAAGTAGGCTGAAGCCTGTTAAGAGTCAGTGGGCCAAAGCTAGAGCTGTCCTGAGGAGTGTGAGGTAAACCTCTGTGTGAGAGAAGCTTTGTGTGAGAAAGCTCCAGTGTGAAGGATGCTGTGTGTAAAGCTACTGTGTATTTGTTTATTTGTGTTATGGAAACCTTGCTCTTGTAAATAGTGTAACCATATTATTTTACTATAAAGATAAGCCTCCTATGGAAGAGATAACATTGGGCTGTGTATTTCTGTTCTTTCTCTCACTGTGGGCTACTGGTGCTAGGTCATGATGCTGCTGCTAAATTACTCTGCTGTACATTTATGGAAAGGGTATTCTGTTAATAAGTCCACTTGCCCAAGATTAGGTAATAACTAAAATTAGATACAAACAATCTGGTAAGAAGAAGAATAAAGATAAAACTGGGAGGGAAGAAAAGAATAACAAAAACAGGACCATACCAGAAGACGATCTGACTTAAAGACAATAATATTTCTCCTCTCTTTGTTATGGAGGATATAAAGAAAAAGAAAACCAAGAAGGCAAGATGGTTGTCTGCTGAGACACTGGAAGTAGCACAGGAAAGAAAGGAAAGCAAAAGGAAACAGTGATAGGTAGAGATATGCCCAATTGAATGAACAATTCCAGAGGTTAGCCAGAAGAGATAAGGAATTATTTTTAAACAAGCAATGCATGGAAGGGGAAGAAGACAATATAATAGGAAGGAAAAGAGACCTCTTCCAGAAAATTAGAAACATTGGAGGCAAATCTCAGGCAAAAATGGGCATGATCAAAAACAAAGATGGCAAGGACCTAACAGAAGCTGAAGAGATCAAGAGAAGGTGGTGAGACTATACAGAAGATCTGTATAGGAAGGATAATAATATCAAGGATAGCTTTGACGGTGTGGTGAGTGAATTAGAACCAGACATCCTGAGGAGTGAGGTTGAATGGGCCTTAAGAAGCATTGCTAACAAGGCAGCAGGAGACGATGGGATCCCAGCTGAACTGTTTAAAATCTTGGAAGAGGATGCTGTCAAGGTGCTGCATGCTATATGCCAGTAAATATGGAAAACACAAGAATGGCCACTGTGTATTTGTTTATTTGTGTGAAAAAATCAACTATTATCCCCATACCAAAAAAGGGAAGCGCTAAAGAATGCTCAAACTTTCATACAGTGGCACTTATTTCTCATGCCAGTAAGGTAACGCTCAAGATCCTGCAAGGTAGACTCCAGCAATACATGGAGCGAGTTACCAAATGCCTAAGCTGGGTTCAGAAAAGGCAGAGGAACGAGAGACCAAAATGCCAATATCCACTGGATAATGGAAGAAGGCAGAGAGTTTAAAAAAAACAAAACACCAATTTCTGTTTTATTGACTATTCTAAAGCCTTTGACTCTGTGGATCATAACAAATTGTGGCGTGTCGCATTATCATGGGGTGCCTGCACCCTACACCACTGGAGAAATTACACTGTCTAGCCGGTATTGCACCACCTGACATCCACCGGGAAGTAGCAGCCAATAGTGAAAGGACCAAGGCAGTAACATCTCCAGCTCATCCCTTGTTTGGGTATCAGCCAGCACGCCAACGACTTAAATCAAGAAATAGTTTTCTAAGATCTACAGAGACACTCGCTGGAACACCTCAGCAAGTGAGAGTCCAAAAGTGACAGGCTCAAACCCAGAACCTCAATCAATGGCTGATACCCAATGAGAGACTCCCCCCTGGGAACACAGAAGACTGGGCAACTTGGAAGGCGCTGAACAGACTGCGCTCTGGCACCACGAGATGCAGAGCCAACCTTAAGAAATGGGGCTACAAAGTGGAATCCACGACATGCGAGTGTGGAGAGAAGCAAACCACTGACCACCTACTACAATGCAGCCTGAGCCCTGCCACATGCACAATGGAGGACCTTCTTGTGGCAACACCAGAGACACTTCAAGTGGCCAGATACTGGTCAAAGGACATCTAATCAACTACCAAGCTTGCAAACTTTGTGTTTTGTCTGTTTGTTTTGTTTTGCTAAAAACGTAATACAAATGTCTGGTTGCTCCTGACACGATAAATAAAATAAAATAACAAATTGTGGCAAGTTCTTGGTGGTATGAATGGGAATACCAAGCCATCTTGCCTGTCTCCTGAGGAATCTGTATAACGACCAAGTAGCAACAGTAAGAACAGACCATGGAACAACTGACTGGTTCAAGATTGGGAAAGGAGTACGGCAAGGCTGTGTACTCTCACCCAACCTATTCAACTTGTATGCAGAACACATCATGCGACATGCGGGGTGTGACAAATCCAAGGCTGGAGTTTAAATTGCTGCAAGAAACATTAACAATCTTAGATATGCAGATGATACCACTTTGATGCCTGAAAGCGAGGAGGAACTGAGGAGCCTTCTAACGAAGGTGAAAGAAGAAAGTGCAAAAGCTGGGTTGCAGTTCAACATCAAAAAAACCAAGATGATGGCAACCAGACAGATCGAGAACTGGCAAACAGAGGGAGAATAGGTAGAGGAAGTGACAGACTTTGTATTTCTAGGTGCGAAGATTACTGCAGGAAATCAGAAGATGTTTCCTTCTTGGGAGGAGAGCAAAGACCAATCTTGATAAAATAGTGAAGAGTAGAGACATCACACTGGCAACAAAGATTCACATAGTTAAAGCAATGGTAATCCCTGTAGTAACCTATGGATGTGAGAACTGGACTATAAGGAAGGCTGAGCAAAGGAAGATAGATGCTTTTGAACTGTGGAGGAACATTCTGAGAGTACCTTGGACTGCAAGAAGATCCAACCAGTCGATACTCCAGGAAATAATGCTGAACTGCTGATTAGAGGGAAGGATATTAGAGGCAAAGATGAAGTACTTTGGCCACATCATGGGAAGACAGGAAAGCTTGGAGAAGAGAATGATGCTGGGGAAAATGGAAGGAAAAAGGAAAAGGGGTCGACCAAGGACAAAGTGGAGGGATGTTATCCTTGAAGAGACTGGCTTGACCTCGAAAGAGATGGGGGTGGCCACATCCGACAGGGAGCTCTGGCCTGGGCTGCGACTGAACAAATAAAAAACAACAACAAAATAGAATTTAAAAATATTTTGAGGAAAGGGTGTAATTGTAACTGGTATGAAGCACGTGGCCAAATGAGAGAGAGGAGAAAGGAAGAAAGGAAGAAAGAAAGGAAGGAAGGAAGGAAGGAAGGAAGGAAGGAAGGAAGAAGGGGGATTCGGTGGGCTTACCCTCCCCAGGACATCAAGAGGAAGCTTGGAGTTGATGAGCACCGGCTTGACTTTGTCTCCTGAAAGCAATCCATTGACAGGCAAAAGGCTCTCGAAAATGCCATCGAACTTGGCTCTTTCCTCCACCTAGAAAGCAAAAAAGAAAGAAAGACAGGGCTGTGGTGAACAGGATAAAGAAATGCGCAGCAACCTGGTTTTCTTTTGCAGGCAAGGGAAAGGAAAGGGTGGGAGAAAGGAAAGAAGCAAGGAAGGAAAACAAGAAGAAAAGAATAAGAAGAGGAGAAAAAGGAGAAAAGGACGAAGAAGAGGAAGAATAGGAGGAGGAAAAGGAAAAGGAGGAGGAGAGGAAGAAGAGGATGAGGAAGAAAGGAAGGAAACAAAGGAAGGAAGGAAGGAAAAGGAAAAGGGAAGGGAAAAGGAAGGAAGGAAAGGAAAGGAAAGGGGAGGAAAGAAAGATGGCGAGAGAGGCGGGGGGCCATGGGGACATCTTAGGGGAATTCAGGGTGGGACAAGGGGGACGTTTAGAGGGGGTGACCAGCGTGGGCGGGGGGAAGGAAGGAAGGAAGGAAGGAAGGAAGGAAGGAAGGAGGGCGGGCGGGCAGGCAGGCAGGAAGGAAGGAAGGAAGGAAGGAAGGAAGGAAGGAAAAGGGAGGAGGGAGGGAGGGAGGAGGGAGGGAGGGAGGGAGGGAGGGAGGGAGGGAAGAAAGGAAAGAAGGAAGGAAGGAAAGGAAGGGAAAGGGAAGGAGGGAGGGAAGGAAGAAAAGAAGGAGGAAAGAAAAGGACAGAAGGAAGGAAGGAAGGAAGGGAAAGGAGAGAAAGAAAAGGAAGGGAAGGGAAAGGAAGGGAAAGGGGAAGAAGAAGGGAAAGGGAAGGAAAAAGAGAAGGGAAAGGGAAGGGAAAGGGAAGAAAAGGGAAAGGGAAAAAAAAGGAGAAAGAAGAATGGGGGAAGGGGAAGGAGGGAGGGAGGAAAAGAAAAAGAGGGAAAAAGGAGAAAATTGGCTGTTACTAGGTGAAGGATTGGCTGAGGAAGGAAGGAAGGAAGGAAGGAAGGAAGGAAGGAAGGAAGGAAGGAAAGATTACAAGAAGAGAAAGAAGAATGGGGGAAGGAGGGAGGGAGGAAAAGAAAAAGAGGAGAAAAGAAGAGAGTTGGCTGTTACTAGGTGAAGGATTGGCTGAGGAAGGAAGGAAGGAAGGAAGGAAGGAAGGGGGAGGGAGGGAGGGAGGGAAAAAAGAGAGAATTGGCTGTTACTAGGTGAAGGATTGGCTGAGGAAGGAAGGAAGGAAGGAAGGAAGAATGGGGGAGGGAGGAAGGAAAAGAAAAAGAAGGGAAAAGGAGAGAATTGGGTGTTACTAGGTGAAGGATTGGCTGAAGAAGGGAGGGAGGGAGGGAAAGAGAAGGAAGAACGGGGGAGGGAGGGAGGAAAAGAAAAAGAGGGGAAAAGGAGATAATTGGCTGTTACTAGGTGAAGGATTGGCTGAGGAAGGAAGGAAGGAAGGAAGACAAGAAGAGAAGGAAGAACGGGGGAGGGAGGAAGGAAAAGAAAAAGAAGGGAAAAGGAGAGAATTGGCTGTTACTAGGTGAAGGATTGGCTGAAGAAGGGAGGGAAGGAGGGAGGGAAAGAAGAATGGATGGAGGGAGGGAGGAAAGGAAAAGGAGAGAATTGGCTGTTACTAGATGAAGGATTGGCTGAAGAAGGAAGGGAGGAAGGAAGGAAGGAAGGATTACAAGAAGACAAAGAAGAAACGGGGGAGGGAGGGAGGAAAAGAAAAAGAGGGGAAAAGGAGATAATTGGCTGTTACTAGGTGAAGGATTGGCTGAAGAAGGAAGGAAGGAAGGAAGACAAGAAGAGAAGGAAGAACGGGGGAGGGAGGAAGGAAAAGAAAAAGAAGGGAAAATGAGAGAATTGGGTGTTACTAGGTGAAGGATTGGCTGAAGAAGGAAGGGTGGGAGAGAGGGAATTAAGAATGGATGGAGGAGGGAGGAAGGGAAAAGGAGAGAATTGGCGGTTACTAGGTGAAGGATTGGCTGAAAAAAAGGGGAAAACGAGTGGAAGAGTGAGGGAGGACTCACCCTGACGGCCCAATGGGCCTCTGAGGACGGAGGCAGCAGGAGTGGGCTTGTGCTGTCGTGCTGCAAGGAGAGAAAGAGAAATATCTTAGCGGGCAAAAGAAGTAGCAAAAGTGAGCCTATGTTGCAATGAAATATGAGTGATGGACAGATAGATTAGATAGATTGCATAGATAGATAGACAGAATAATAGATTCTGTGATTATTTATCTATGTAATCTATCAATCACTCGTATTTCATAGCTTGATAAGGTAGATTTATAGACAGATGAATTGAGAGTTATAGACAGATAACAAAAGGTAGGTAGATAGCTAAAATAGATTAGAGATAGATAGACTGATAGGGTAGATAAAGTGATAGATTAAGTAGTGAGAGAGGGGAAAGATAGATAGATGGGTGTCATGATCTCTAAACCTTACAATAAGGTAGATTGATTGATAGATAAATTGATTGATTCTGCCTGGAGGGGAACTCCAGACCGTCATCAATCAAATAGCAGTTAACACCTCCCAAACAAAGGATTCCTCCAGGCAACAACAGCCTGGTTTTGAAGCTGCAAGGCTTTTCAATACTAATCAAGCTGGCCAAGGGCAATATTCACACTTGCCTCAAACAGGCAAGGGTTCTTTCTCCCGCCCTAGACATAATTCCACAGGGATATAAACCCCGCTGGTCTCATTTCCAACAAACCTCTGAGGATGCCAGCCACAGATGCAGGCGAAAGGTCAGGAGAGAATGCTTCTGCAATATGGCCATACAGCCCGGAAAACTCATAGCAACCCAATATGTTTCTATTTTTTCCAAGGTGTAATAAGGATTAGGACTGTTACTAATCCTTGTATTTTATGACTGCTACAATAAATCTTAAGAACCCCTGGTGGCACAGTGGGTTAAACCACTGAGCTGCTGACTTTGCTGACTGAAAGGTTGGCAGTTTGAATCCGTAGAGTGGAGTGAGCTCCTGCTGTTAGGCCCAGCTTCTGCCAACCTAGCAGTTCGAAAACATGCACATGAGAGTAGATCAGTAGGTACCGCTTCGACAGGAAGGTAACAGCGCTCCATGCAGTCATGCTAGCCACATGACCTTGGAGGAGTCTACAGACAATGCCGGCTCTTCAGCTTAGAAATGGAGATGAGCACCACCCCCCAGAGTCGGACACGACTGGACTTAATGTCAGGGGAAAACCTTTACCTATAGCTCTGTTTCATTGTTTTTCTAATTGTTACTTTCCCACTTTGACGGGAAGGAAACGGCGTTCCATGCAGTTATGCTGGCCACATGACCTTGGAGACGTCTATGGACAATGCCGGCACTTCGGCTTAGAAATGGAGATGAGAGTCAGACAGAAATAGACTTAATGTCAGGGGGAAACCTTTACCTATAGCTCTGTTTCATTGTTTTTCTAATTGTTACTTTCCCACTTTGACGGGAAGGAAACGGCGCTCCATGCAGTCATGCTGGCCACATGAACTTGGAGACGTCTATGGACAATGCCGGCACTTTGGCTTAGAAATGGAGATGAGAGTCAGACACAAATAGACTTAATGTCAGGGGAAACCTTTACCTACGATACATCTTAAATGAATACTGGTGTTCGGCATTTTAATGTAATTGTATCATAATTGCTTTTAGGGTATATGTTGTAATGTTTTACTCATGTTTTAGTTTATTATGTCTTAGTGGATTGCTTTTTATTATTTTCATCCCAATGTTTAATTTTTTGTTGCAAGTTTACTGTTGTTTCTGTGCATTATCCTGTATTATTTTGATGTGTTTGTGTTCATTTGAGCCATTGAATGCCTTTTTGTTTTGTGTCTGTAAATTGTCCCCAAGTCCCTTCAGGGAGAGAGCGCGATCTAGAAATAACATATTATTATTATTATTATTATTATTATTATTATTATTATTATTATTATTATTATTAGCCGCTCCCTGCCACGCGTTGCTATGGCCCAGTCTGGTGATCTGGAAAATAAAGTAATGAGAAAGTGTTGGTTTCTAATATATGTAATTTCTTTCTGCTTGTGGGTAAACAGTATTCCTTGTTGTTTCTTTGCCAATGTTGATGTGGAAATTGTCTGGTTTGTCTACTCTGTAACATGCAACATATAGTTGTCCTTCTTTAGGGGTCCCTTTCAAATCTATTATACTATATCTCTGTGTGTGTGAATCTTGCACTGGTGAAGGGAGTTGGATGGCCTTAAGTATTTTCTGTTGGTCATGGGGGTTCTGTGTGGAAAGTTTGCCCCAATTCTATCGTTCGTGGGGTTCAGAATGCTCTTTGATTGTAGGTGAACTACAATCCCAGTAACTACAACTCCCAAATGTCAAGGTCTATTTCCCCCAAACTCCATCTGTGTTCATATTTGGGCATATGGAATATTCGTGCCAAGTTTGGTCCAGATCCGTCACTGTTTGAGTCCACAGTGCTCTCTGGATGTAGGTGAACTACAACTCCCAAACACAGGTCAATGCCCACCAAACCCTTATAGTGTTTTCTCTTGGTCATGGGAGTCCTATCTGCCAAGATTGGTTCAGTTCCATCATTGGTGGAGTTCAAAATGCTCTTTTATTTTAGGTGAACTATAAATCCCAGCAACTACAACTCCCAAATGACAAAATCAATTTTTTTTTTAGTGAAGGATATACATTGGGTTGTTAGGTGTATGATGTCCAAATTTGGTGACAATTGGCCCACTGGTTTTTGAGTTCTGTTAATCCCACAAACGAACATTACTTTTTTATTTATATAGACTAGCTGTCCCCTGCCACACGTTGCTGTGGGCCACATGGGGGTTCTGTGCGGGAGGTTTGGCCCAACTACAACTCCCAAATGTCAAGATTCTATTTTCCCCAAACTCCACCAGTGTTCACATTTGGGCATATTGAGTATTCTTGTAGAGTTTGGTCCAGATCCATAATTGTTTGAGTCCACAGTGATCTTTGGATGTAGGTGAACTACAACTCCAAAACCAAAGGACACTGCCCACCAAACCCTTCCAGTATTTTCTGTTGGTCATGGGAGAACTGTATGCCAAGTTTGGTTCATTCCATCGTTGGTGGGGTTCAGAATGTTCTTTGATTGCAGGTGAATTATAAATCCCAGCAACTACAACTCCCAAATGACAAAATCAATCTTTTTTGAGTGAAGGACATACATTGGGTTATTAGGTGTCTTGCATCCAAATTTGGAGTCAATTCGTCCAGTGGTTTTTGAGTTATGTTAATCCCACAAACGAACATTACATTTTTATTTATATAGATTACAGATGCAGGCAAAACGTCCGTAGAGAATGCTACTGGAACATGGCCATACAGCCCGAAAAACTGACAGCAACCCAATATTATGTGTTTCTATTTTTTAAAGATATAATAATAAAAATTATTCTCAAAAAAAGAAACACTGCCCCGTCACGACACCTGCCAGGACGCAGAATGCATCAATCGTGGCGAGAACTCGCTCCTGATATCAGGAAAAAAATCAATTGAGAGAAGGAAGGCAGGCATTTGGGAAAGAGAAAGGAGGAAAAGGAAGGCAGCATCTCAGGCTTACGAATTTTGGCGGGGGCAAGGTCAAGCCAAGACTGGCGGGTCCCACATCGTTTCCACTCTGGGCACAGGCCACCAGCCGCAGCGCCACGAAGAAGCCCTGGAGAGAGAGCAAGAGAGTGAGAGGCAATTCTCCTTGTCATGCCGGCACCCCCGTCAGGCACCACGCCACACCCCATTTGGGTCTGGGGCACCCAAGGACCCCAAGACTAGCCTGGCTTCCCCTCCAGTACCTGCTTGTCCAGGAAGCCTTTTCCCTCCGGATCAGCCAAGTCCCAAATCTAAGCCAAAAAGACAAAAGACTGTTTCACTCTTGGAAAGAACTGTACTGTAACCTTATTGAAAAAAGTAAAAATGATGTCACATTCCTGAATCTCCATGAACATGTAGAGACCACCTTTGAAAACCACTAGTAAAGAAAAGCATGACGTTGTTAGAACAAGTGATATTCATAAGCATTCATGTAATGGCACACAGGTAACTCAGCTGTTAGACTGAAGAACCATGTCTTTGAACTGCCAAGGATAAAGGCATGCTACTACAAAGATATAATAGGTTAGCAGAGGATGGCTGTTTCTTTGCAGTTGAATTTGCAGTTGTAATTGCCCAAAAAGATAAACGCTCTTTTGAAACCTCTTAGTTTAAAATATGCACTCAGAGATAAAAACAATGTCTTCCTTGAAAAATAAAATATCTTGTTTCCTCGTAAGCATCTTGGATCAGTTCACCATATAGGCACATTTCTTATTAAAGTTCAGTTACTTACTTACTTACTTACTTACTTAGGCGATCCCTCGTTGGCCGAGTAGGATAGTCTTCCAGGATCACAATTCTTGTGAGTCTGTAGGTGGCTGTGGAGCCTTATTCTTGCTCTGCATCTTCTGCAGTGAGGGCATTGCTTTCCAGGTGGAAGGCAGTCCCGGTTGAGGTTGGCTTGACGCACCTTCCTCTTGGCACGTTTCTCTCTTTCACCCTCCATTCGTGCCTCTTCAAATTCTGCAGCACTGCTGGTCACAGCTGACCTCCAGCTGGAGCGCTCAAGGGCCAGGGCTTCCCAGTTCTCAGTGTCTATGCCAGAGTTTTTAAGGTTGGCTTTGAGCCCAACTTTAAATCTCTTTTCCTGCCCACCAACATTCCGTTTTCCGTTCTTGAGTTCGGAGTAGAGCAACTGCTTTGGGAGACGGTGGTCAGGCATCCGGACAACGTGGCCGGCCCAGCGGAGTTGATGGCGGAGGACTTCAATGCTGGTGGTCTTTGCTTCTTCCACCACGCTGACGTTTGTCTGCCTGTCTTCCCAGGAGATTTGCAGGATTTTCCGGAGGCAGCGCTGACGGAATCGTTCCAGGAGTTGCATGTGACGTCTGTAGACAGTCCACGTTTCGCAGGCATATAGCAGGGTTGGGAGGGGAATAGCTTTATAAACAAGCACCTTGGTATCCCTATGGATGTCCCGGTCCTCAAACACTCTCTGCTTCATTCGGAAAAAAGCTGCACTTGCAGAGCTCAGGCGGTGTTGTATTTTGGTGTCGATGTTGACTTTGGTGGAGAGGTGGCTGCCAAGGTAGCGGAAATAGTCAACATTTTCTAATGTTACACCATTAAGCTGTATCTCTGGCATTGGAAAGAGATTGGCTGGTGAGTACTGGAAGAGCACTTTGGTTTTCTCGATGTTCAGTGACAGGCCCAGCTTCTCGTATGCTTCTGCGAAGATGTTTAGAGTGGCTTGTAGGTCTTCTTCTGACAAAGTTCAGTTATAGAGAGGATGTAGGTTTCTCTCTGAGTTGAGTACACAGGGTATCATTCTTTATCAATTGTCCATAGTCTTTAGGTACAGTTGTACTCACTGAAGTCCACAATCATACTGCAACCTGCTTTCATTGAAGACCAAACATCCACTGAGTTGGGAAGCAAACACTGAATACAAAATGGAGTCCAGATATAATCACATGTCTACAACCCCTCCCACACCAAAGAGGTGTTCAACATCTACACAAATGACCAGCCACTGCCAGAAGGGACAGAGAGTTTCATCTATGCTGATGATCGTGCCATTACCGCTCAAGCAGGGAGCTTTGAGATGGTAGAACAGAAGCTCTCCGAAGCTCTAGTTGCTCTTACCGCCTATTACAGGGAAAACCAACCAATCCCTAATCCATCTAAAACACAGACATGTGCCTTTCACCTTAAGAACAGACAAGCATCCCGAGCTCTGAGGATCACCTGGGAAGTAATCCCACTAGAGCATTGCAGCACACCCAAATACCTGGGAGTCACTACAATAGTCATTACAAGAAACATTGCCTGGACATCAAGCAAAATGTGGGTGCTAGAAACAATATCATATGAAAGCTGACTGACACAACCTGGGGATCATAATCAGACACAGTGAAGACATCTGCCCTTGCGCTTTGCTACTCTGCTGCCGAGTATGCATGCCCAGTGTGGAACACATCTCACCACACTAAAACAGTGGATGTGGCTCTTAATGAGACATGCCGCATTATCACAGGTGTCTGCGCCCTACACCACTGGAGAAATTACACTGCTTAGCCGGTACTGCACCACCTGACATCCACCGGGAAGTAGCAGCCAATAGTGAAAGGACCAAGGCAGAGACATCTCCAGCTCATCCCCTGTTTGGGTATCAGCCAGCACGTCAACGACTTAAATCAAGAAATAGTTTTCTTAGATCTACAGAGACACTTGCTGGAACACCTCAGCAAGCGAGAGTCCAAAAGTGGCAGGCTCAAACCCAGAACCTCAATCCGTGGGTGATATCAGATGAGAGACTCCCTCCTGGGCACACAGAAGACTGGGTGACTTGGAAGGCGCTGAACAGACTGCGCTCTGGCACCACGAGATGCAGAGCCAACCTCAAGAAATGGGGCTACAAAGTTGAATCCACAACATGCGAGTGTGGAGAAGAGCAAACCACTGACCACCTGCTGCAATGCAACCTGAGCCCTGCCACATGCACAATGGAGGACCTTCTTGCGGCAACACCAGGGGCACTCCAAGTGGCCAGAGAGTGGTCAAAGGACATTTAATCAACTACCAAGCTTGCAAATTTTGTGTTTTTTTAAAATCTGCTTGTTTGTTTTGTTCTGTTAGAAATGTAATACAATGGTATGGTTGCTGATTACACGAAAAATAAATAAATAAAATAACCAAAGAGGTCCGTCAAACTGCCAAATCAACATACCTATAGAATACAGGTTAGCAAATATATACATTAACAAATCAATAGTGATTTGTTCATAGAATTCATTGCCCCACTGAAAGATGGAGTAGCTATGGGGAGCCTTCTCGGCCTGGTCATGGCTAATTTCTACATGGAGCGCTTTGAAAAACAAGCCCTGGAAACAGCAACAAAAAAGCCCACTATATGGTTCAGATATGTGGATGACACTTTCACTGTTTGGAGCCATGGAGAAGAGCTAGACAGGTTCCTGGACCATCTGAACAGCATCCACCCAAACATCCAATTCACCATGGAAAAAGAAAAGGAAGGAAGACTGCCTTTTCTAGATGTCCTAGTCATCCGCAAACCAGATCAACAATTGGCTCACACCGTTTACAGAAAACCCACACACACAAATAGATATCTACATAAAAACTCCAACCATCACCCAAGTCAAAAAAGAAGCACCATTAAAGCCTTGGCAGACCGTGCAAAAAAATCTGCGAAGCCCACCTCCTCCAAGATGGACTGGACCACCTAAACTGGGCTCTACAGGCCAATGGAGACTCCACCTCAGACATCAGAAGAGCTGCAAGACCAAGAACAAGCCACGAGAGTCAAGACGAAGATCCATCCAGAGGAAAAGTGTTCTTGCCATACATCAAGGGAACCACTGACTGCATAGGGAAGCTGATGAGGAAACACAACATACAAACTATCTACAGACCCACCAAGAAAATCCAACAAATGCTTCGTTCAGCAAAGGACAAGAGGGATCCTCTCACCTCTGCAGGAGTCTACCATGTACCATGCAGCTGTGGGCAAGACCACATAGGGACCACCAAACGCAGCAGCATTGCCCAAACACGAATCAAGGAACATGAAAGGCACTGCAGACTACTTCAACCAGAGAAGTCAGCCATTGCAGAGCACCTGATGAACCAACCTGGACACAGCATTTTATTTGAGAACACAGAAATGCTGGACCACACCAACAACCACCATGTCACACAGAGAAGCCATTGAAATCCATAAGCATGTGGACAGTTTCAACAGAAAGGAGGAAACCATGGAAATGAACAAAATCTGGCTACCAGTATTAAAAAAAACTCTAAAATTACAACAGCACAACACCAGAGAGGAAACAATCTGGGACATCTAATCACCTCTCAACAAAAGATTGCCCCAGGTACTGCCAGGCCATCAAATGCTAATCAAGGTGGTCAGTTGAAACATTCACACCTAGCTCCAGCAGACAAGAGTCCTTTGTCCCACCCTGGTCATTCCACAGATATATAAACCCTTTTTCTAGTTCCAACAGACCTCACTACCTCTGAGGATGCTTGCCATAGATGCAGGCGAAACATCAGGAGAGAATGCCTCTAGAACATGGTCATATAGCCCGAAAAAACCTGCAACCACCCAGTGATTCCGGCCATGAAAGCTTTCAACAATACAATAGTGAAAGACTTGGGCGTTGGCTATTTCCAACATGCTCTTTCCATGTCGCATCCCCTCCATCTTTTTTTAAAAAGTTGTATGGGTTTTTGTTTTCAATTCATATCTTTATTTTTAAAAAAATCAATGTAACAGATCTATAGGTAAAGGTTTTTCCCGATATTAAGTCCAATTGTGTCCGACTGGGGGGGGGGGGGTGTCTCATCTCTATTTCTAAGCCGAAGAGCCGGCGGTGTCTGCAGACACCTCCAAGGTTATGTGGCCAGCATGACTGCATGGAGCGCTGTTACCTCCCCGTCAAAGATCAATTGATCTTCTCACATTTGCATGTTTTCAAACTGTTAGGTTGGCAGAAGCTGGGGCTAACAGCGGGAGCTCACGCTACTCCCGGATTCGAGCCTGCGAACTTTCAGTTAGCAAGTTCAGCAGCTCAGCGGTTTAACCCACTGCGCCACCAGGGGCTCCATCTATATACATGCATATATAGTACACGAACTAATACAATGCTCCCCAACATATTTTTTAATGAAAAATTTGAAATGGTAAACAAATGATGTCAATTTCAGTAACCATCTCATAGTACAAACAGAATGTTATTCACTGAATTATCTTAACATTGCATGGTTCAGTCTTAGTATATGG